CGCGCCAGCCCCAGCTGCACCATTTTAAGCACTGAATTGCCTGTCCACAGGCATCAGACCCATCGCCCTCATCACGGCACGGTTTCCTCCTGGAGACACCCACCACCCAGCCAGCGACAGCTCCCTGCCCTCAGGACCCTGCTTTGAGACTGTAGCTTTCCTCAGATACGTTGTAGCCCCCCTTCCCTCGGATACATTGTAGCCCCCTTCCCTCAGATACATTGTAGCCCCCTTCCCACTGCTGTGTGTTCCCCATTCTCAGTACAAGTTCTCAGTGGTGCCACCCTGGAGACGCCAGGGGCACCTGCCCCCGAGTTGTGACAACCAAAAATGTCGCCAGACCGTGCCATGTGTCCCCTGGGCAGCCCCCAACCACGGAGTTTAGGTTTCAGGAAGTTCCCCCCTTTCTGCTGGCCAGCGGGTCGCCCCTGCTCTGATAGGCCGGAGCAGCAGCAGCCGGGCGGTGGCGGGCTCAGAGGGCCGCCCTCCAGGGACAGCAGCGTGAGGAGGAACACGTGTGCCTGCCCGTGGGCTGAGTGGTTTAAATGCTGCTCTGGACAGAAGGTGGCTTCAGAATCCGACAAGGGCTCTCGGCTGTGCATGTCTGTCCCAGCCTGTTGTCCCTGGGGTTGCCAAGGCAACCGAGCTGCCTCTGCTGGTGGCTGTGCCTGGAGGCGAGGGTGTGGGCTGGCGCAGGGGATGCCCTCTGTGACCCATCTGGAGGCCGTCTTGTTTTCATTAAAGATTTATCACATCTCACCGAGGGGATTTTTTTTTATTCTCATTCCATTTATAGGAGGAAACATGCTGGGTGGTTCCTGTGGGCATTTGGGCCCTGGGCACAGGTGCTCGGCACGCCCAGCCCTCCAGCAGGGGCCCCTGCTCTGTCCCGGAGCTCCCTGGGGAAGCAGAGGCCATGACCTCCTAACCCGGTGGCTTCCACAAACACGCGTCCCAAAGTGCACCTCTGAGACAGGGCGGTCACGCGAGGGCTGTGGCCTCACCACCCTGGGGGCCCTGAGGGAGCTGGGGAGGCCCCCGGTCAGTAGGGGCCCCGCCCTGGTCACCCTGCCTGCAGCCCAAACAGGGTGGCTGGCTGCAGCTTCCTGCTGACCTGGCTGTGAGTCCGTGACTGGCTCCCCCGGCGCAGGCACTTGGGAGTGAGCCAGCAAATTCTCTGTTTCGTAAATAAACAGGTGAGAAGGTTTTGCAGGAGTGAAGCCCAGGAGTGAGATCTGAGGGTGCTGTCCTTTGTACTTGAATGTAACTGTAATCTTTAATTTATTTTTATTTATTTGAAAGGCAGAGTTACAGAGGCAGAGAGATCTTCCATCCACTGGTTCACTCCTTAAATGGCCGCAATGGCCGGAGCTGGGCTGATCCGGAGCCAGGAGCCAGGAGCTTGTTCCGGGTCTCCCATGGGGTGCAGGGCCCAAGCACCTGGGCCATTCTCCACTGCTTTCCCAGGCCACAGCAGAGAGCTGGCCTGGAAGAGGGGCAGCTGGGACTCGAACACTGCAGGCCAGGGCTTTAACCCACTGCCACAGTGCTGGCCCCTGGAATTTTTTTCTTATTATTACTTTTTATTTATTTTGTATTATTGTTACTTAAGAGACAGAGCTTCTGTCTGTTGGCTCACTCCCAAATGCCCAGGAGCCTGGAACTCCATGAGGGTCTCCTGCGTGGGTATCGGGGACCGCAGCCACCACTGCTGCTTCTCAGGGTGCCGTCGGCTGGAAGCTGCGACCAGAGGCAGAGTCAGGGCTTGAGCCCATGCTGCAGAATGGGAGTGCAATCCTAGTTGCCGCACCTGCTTGCCTGCTCCTAACTGGAATATATATATATATATATATTTTTTTTTTTTTTGACAGGCAGAGTTAGACAGTGAGAGAGAGACAGAGAGAAAGGTCTTCTTTCTGTTGGCTCACCCCCCAAATGGCCGCTACGGCCAGCGCTGCACCGATCCAAAGCCAGGAGCCAGGTGCTTCTCTTGGTCTCCTTTGGGGTGCAGGGCCCAAGCACTTGGGCCGTCCTCCATTGCCTTCTGGGCCACAGCAGAGAACTGGACTGGAAGAGGAGCAACCGGGACAGAATCCGGCGCCCCGACCGGGACTAGGACCCAGGGTGCCGGCGCCACAGGCAGAAGATTAGCCTAGTGAGCCGTGGCGCCGGCCTGGAGTGTTTTAACAATGAAAATTTAGTTGAAAGGCAGAGAGACACAGATCTCATCCACCACTGTTTCACCTCCCAAATGGCTGCAATGGCCAGGGCTGGGCTGGGCTGAAGCCAGAAGCCAGGAGCTTCATCCAGGTCTCCCATGTGGGGTGGCAAAGACTTAAGCACTTGGTCCATCTGCTCGTTCCCAGGTGCACTGGCAGGGAGCGGGATCAGAAGTGGAGCAGCCAGGACTTGAACCGGCGCCCACATGGGGTGGAGGTAGCCCAGTTTCAGCAGGTGGAACCTTCCCGGCGCCTGGGACTGCCCCACGATCAGGGACGCGCTCCGGGGCCTGGCCTGCATCATCTCCCCACCTTCGAGGGGTGCAGGGCCCCGTGGAGCCCCCGTGTGCTGTCCTGTTCTCCCCAAGGGCCGCGTGAGTGAGGCAGCGTGGCACCAGGTGGCTGGAGTGGATGCCTGCGTGTTGTGCCCGTGTGGGTCTGTGCGACCCCACTTCAGCCCCGGCTGCCCTTCCTCAGGCCCCTCTGTCTTACGCTGCAGGCTGTGTCTTGGCCGGCTGCAGCCAGCTGGCTCGTTCATTCTCCCGGTGGTCACGTGGGTGGTTCCCAGTCGGCTGTGAGGAGGCAGCTGTAGGGAGCTTCCCCACAGGCGTCTCTGGGAAAGCGTGGGCCAAGGGGTGTCCCTGCATGGCTGTGCCGTGCCACGTGGGCATGAAGCACCAGCAGTCACCTGGCCGAAACGATGCAGTTTAGCTTTTAGGCTTTTTTTTTTTTTTTTTTTTTTAATTTGACAGAGAGAGAGAAAGGTCTTCCTTCCATTGGTTCACCCCCCAAATGGCCGCCATGGCCGGAGCTACGCTGATCCAAAGCCAGGAGCCAGAAGCTTCTTCCAGGTCTCCCATGCGGGTGCAGGGGCCCAAGCACTTGGGCCATCTTCTGCTTTCCCAGGCCACAGCAGTGAGCTGGACTGGAAGGGAAGCAACTGGGACTAGAACCCGGCGCCCATATGGGATGCTGGCGCCGCAGGCAGAGGATTAACCAAGTGAGCCATGGTGCCGGGCCCACTTTTAGGCCTTTTTAAAGGCAATTTATTTTATTTTTTAAAGATTTATTTACTTGAAAATCAGAGTGAGAGCAGAGAGAGAGGGAAAGAGCTACTGATCCTCTAGCCACTGGTTCACTCCCCAAGTGCCCACAACAGCCAGCGCTGGACCAGGAGCTCCATCCAGGCGTCCCACGTCGTGCAGGGACTGAAGCACTCAGGCCAGCACCTGCTGCCGCCCGGGTACAGTAGGGAGCGTGACTGGAAGTGGAGCAGCTGGGACTTGAACCAGCGCCCACAGGTGGCGACTGCCCTCTGTGCCAGAACGTTGGCGAGAGGCTGGTGCGAGGTTTGCCCAGTGCTGTCCGCTGTCACCTGCTGGCCGCCTCCACCCCCACCCCGCAGCTTCCTGATCCAAGGATGCAATGGGGGTGGAGTGAGGAGCTCCCAGGGAGCACGTCTGTGCCGATGGCAGGCGCTGTTTTCCTGGGGGTCTGTGTCGTCGGAGGCACCGTAGCCCCCCGGGGGTGCGTGCTGAGCTGTGCAGACACGGAGATGTCCTGTGGGCAACTCGGGGTCCTGGAGCCACCTCCTGTGGATGCTGACCAGTGCCTGCCGTGGCCTCCTGCAGGGACTGTCAGTCTGAGCCCCAGCGCACCCTGGGGACAGCAGGTGGTGGCCCCAGCCCTCCCTGCCAACCTCGTGGGAGACCCGGGTTGAATTCCTGGCTCCCATCTGGCCAAGCAACCGGGAAGTGAACTAGCGGTTGGGAGATCTGGCTTGCTCTCTTAAACAGATTGATTCAATAAAACAGAATTTCTTATGTGATGCCCCTGCACCTGTGTGGGAGACCTGGATGGAGCTCCTGGCTCCCGGCTTCGGATCGGCGCAGCTCTGGCTGTTGCGGCCATTTGGGGAGTGAACCAGCGGATGAAGACCTCTCTCTGCCTCTCTGTAACTGTGCTTCTCTGTAACTCTGCCTTTCGAATATATAAATCTTTAACAGTATGTATTTTTCTTCATATTATGAAAGGCAGCGAGGCGGGTGCATTAGCGGAGCTGGCCTGGAAGTGGGGCAGCCGGAACTGAACCCAGGCGCTGTCTGAAGCCTGCAGGTGGCCAAGGGGCCAAACCGCCCCCAAACCTCTCTGTTAGTTCCGCTGGCTGCCTGTCCTTGGGGGCCCGCGGGTCTCACCTTCCCCGGAGCCCAGTTCCTCTGTCCATCGTGGAGCTGCTTGGGGGCGTCGCTCCGACGTGGGTGGGGGCGGGTCTGCTCTGAGCGCCTCCTCTTCCCAGGTGGGGACGCGAGCCCGAGGGCAGGTAGTTGGCCCTGCCCAGGGTGGGTGGCCCGGCCTTGGACCGAACCGGACTGGACCGAGCGGGGACGGTCGCTGCGAGGCCCCGCCCCCTCGGAGCCCCGCCCTCCCCACCTGCCGCGGCCGTGACTGACGTGTGCCCCTCCCCCACCAGGTGCGGACGTGGCCGTGGCGGAAGCCAGCTGCTCCGACGGCCGCGCAGACAGGGCCGAGCTGTGCGCGCACGCGGACGAGGCCCTGCTGGGCGGCGCCGCCGGCTTCCTGGGCGCCGCCGACGAGGCCGACAAGGACGCGGCGCTGCAGCAGGCGGCCGCCGTGGCCAACCTGCGCGCCGCGCTACTGAGCAAGAACAGCCTGCTGTCCGTCAAGGCCGAGGCGCTGGGCGACGACGGCGCGCTGCTGCTCGAGTACCTGCCGCCGGGCGCGCACTCGCTGTCGCGTAAGTGCCGTGCGCGCGCACCGGGGGCGCGCGCGGGGCCGCGGAGGGAGGGCGGGAGGTCGCCCGCGAGACCCCGCAGGGGTCGCCGCCGTCGGGGCGCCAGCGCGCGGGGGCTCGCAGGGGTTCACGTCCGGGCGCCGAGCGAGAGGCGGCGCCGGGGTGTCGTCGTTTCCGCGGCCGCCGCGCGTCCGGCGTCGCGACCCTCGGCCGGGGCGCGGGAGCGGAAGCAGGGGCCGGGGCTCACGCTGTGCCCGGCCTGGCTCCCCGGGGACCTCGTGTGCCGGCCGCGGGTTCGGGCCGCGGCCTGAAGGGGACGGGGCAGCGGGCCTCCGCGTCCAAGTCGGGAGAGCCGCTGACTGCAGCAGGTGTGCCGGCTGCGTGGAGCAGCCCAGCGGCCCTTTGCGGGTAGTCCTGGAATGTTCTAGAAAGCCTGAAGTTGGTTCCTGTGTCCGTGGCCCGGCTGACACCGCCACAGCCGACTTGTGCCGCCAGGACTTAGGTGCAGCTTCTGCTGTCGCTTTCTCAGCGTAGGCCTGTGTGTCACCTGTCAGTCACCTGTCAGTCACCCGTCACTGCCCGTCGAAGCTCAGAGCTGGACCCATCTCTGTGGACCCATCTGGGACCTTGGCACGTTTGTCGCCTTCATGGGCTTCGGGAAATGCCTTAAGAATCGAAACAGCTCGGAATTCGTGGAGGACCAGGAGGCATCCCCCTGCGGCCTCAGTGCTGGTGGTGCTGGGGGCTGGTGAGGACGGGGGTCTTTCCACACCGCGATGCCGCGTGGCCGGCCGGCCCGGGAGGCGTGGAGAACAGCAGCAGCCTGGCTTTGCTTCCTTTTGTTGGAAGAACGTTTCCTGGTGGATCAGGACCCTAACAGGAGCCCACCCCGGCCCCGGAATTGGAGCCGTTCCCCAGCAGAGGGCCTTCGGACTCACTCGGAAGATCGGCTCCCACGCCAGGGTCGGCCGGACTCCCGCCTTCTGCCCAGAAGGCCGCCGTGGGAGCCTCTGCACTGGGACAAGCCCCACCCGAGCCCCGGGCACGGGGCCACGACTGCTGCAGGGACACGGACGGCCGCCGGGTCGCTCCGTGGTGAGGTTCGTTTCCTGTGTCCCCAGGGTCTGAGCCCCTCATGGGGACGCTGACAGCCACAGAGGGGAAGCCCCCCACCCTCCTGCCACCCACAGCTGCAGGAGGGCCCTGGTGACTGGACAGACAGAGCCCACGGAGCCAGCGCCGCCCCGCCCAGGTGAGACATGAGGGCGGCCGCCCCGTTGTCGCTGGAGGGGCAGCGCCGTGTCGGCCCCGGGGAGCCGCGTCCAGGCGGCAGGCGCAGCGGCCGTCCTAGGTCAGCGAGGCCTGCAGCGGCCGTGTCGGCCCCATGGTCGTTCCCAGTTACAGTGGGTGCCATTTTTAGAGTATTTCTCTGAACTTTTTAAAAAGAAGATTTATCTATTTGAAAGGCAGAGTTACATAAAGGAAACAGAGAGAGAGAGAGAGGTCTTCCATCCGCTGGTTCACTTCCCAGATGGCTTACAACGGCCGGAGCTGGGCTGATCTGAAGCCAGGAGCCAGGAGCTTCTTCCGGTCTCCCACATGGTGCAGGGGCCCAAGGGTTTGGGCATCTTCCACTGCTTTCCCAGGCCGCAGCAGAGAGCTGGATCGGAAGTGGAGCAGCCGGGCTGGCACTGCGTTACCTAACCCATTGTGCTTCAGCGCTGGCCCCCAGGCTCTTCCTGACCTCAAGGTGTTTATGCCACTCCAGGTCCCAGCACAGAGCCGTGTGGCCAGGCTCAGCCAGGCCGGCTTCTCAGCATCGCCCTGCCTGGCTCAGGCTGTGCACCTGCTCCTGTGCCGCCCTGAGGCAGCTGGGGAAGGGCTGGGCTGTGGTTTGGACTCTGGCATTGGTCAGATGCCCCCTGCCCGAGTCCTGTCTACCCGGATGGCTTGGTGGCGGCCATGGGCGTTCTGTGTGCTGAGAATTCACAACAGCCTTCCGTTCCAGGTGGCCGCTGAGGGGCCGTCCCTGCAGCCACGCGACAGGGACGCAGGTGAGTGGCAGGTGACAACGCGTGGGCCACAGGTCTTGACTGAGTTTCCATTTCCTGACTCTCTGTGTCTCCGGTCCTAGGTCCACTCCTCCTGGGACCTGGACACCTGGCCGGGCCGTGGCCTCAGGACCACTGCAGGAGCCGGCAGCTGGTTGTGAGCAGGGCCACGGCTTCTCTAGGGCCAGCGCCGGTGTGGCTGCACTCCCCGCCCTGGCCCCTGGCCCCTGGCCTGGACGGCTTTGCTCTGAAGTCACCTGAGCCGCCCCACAGGACACCCACACTGCTTGCAGTGGTCTCAAGGCAGGGCCCAGCCCACTGGCGCCGACATCCCTGCCCTGGACGGCCACTTGTGCCTGCCTCGCCGCTGCGGCCTGGGCTGTCCAGGTGTGCCTGGCCACCAGGGACGGCCTGCCCAGCTGCTGGGACAGAAGCAGACAGTGAGGGGTGGCCGAGGGGCAGTGTGCTGGGGGCAGGGGCTTCATCCGTGGTCCCTGGAGTCCACCAGCTGCCAGGGCCCAGCGCCCCGATGGGAGCCAGTGGGGCAGGTGCACTTCTGTCTCCAGGTGACAGCTTCAGCTTGGTTAGATCACGTGGCATTGCTGCCTTTTGGGGCAGAAAATTATGCCGCTCTTTTGAGAAGCGGAGCCCAGGAGCTCCCCACTGTTTCCTGGGGAGGTCAGAGGACTGTGCCCGGCTATGGGGACCTCATGTTTTCTGTTTTCCATCTTTAAAAAAAAAATACGTCTACATATTCATTTATGAGGCCAAGAGCGAACGAGCTCTCGTTGCTGGTTCATTCCCCAAACGCCCGCGGTGGCCGGGCTGGGGAGTCAATCCCTGTTTTCCACAGGTGCAGCAGGAAGCTGGGTGCCTGAGTCAGGGCCGGCACTGCCTCCCAGGGTGCAGGTCTGCAGGAAGTGGGTGGTGGGTCCTGACCCCAGCCCTCTACCTCCACTGGACCCTGGGCTCTGTGTCAGCCCCCTGGGCCCTGGGAGCAGGTGGACGTGAGGCCGGGGCGGGTACCGATGGGCTGTTCCACAGGGGGGCAGGCATCTGGGGAGCAGGCAGCCCCCACCATTCCAGGACCGCGGCCAGTGCCATCCCCCTGTGCCTGCTCCGTTGCTCCAGTCTGCGGTCAGTCTGAGGCTGGGCAAGAGTTGGGACGGTGCCGCCCACAGCAGGGAGGCAGTTGGTGTGGCCGCCTCTCGGGGACCTGGGGCCTGGGACGAATCTGTGAGCGTCCTCCCCTGCTCACCCCCATCCCTGCTAAACAAGGACCCACTGTGGAGTGACAGAGGGTTAATAGCTGAGAACTTGCCCCAGGTGGATGTGCTGGGTGGGGACAGAAGCCCCAGGCAGTGGTGTGAGGAGTGAGGGTGACCTGTGGCCAGGCGTCAAGAAGCAGAGTCCCTGGGCCGCTCAGGGCCCCTGAGGCAGGGCCCTGGACGTGGGAGGCGGCAGGATGCAGCCAGCACTCAGCAGGTGCCCATCTTGTGCCACTAGGAACCCACAGCCTGAGATAAGAGACATAGTGGGGCCAGCGCTGTGGCGTAGCAGGTAAAGCTGCCACCTGCAGTGCCGGCATCCCATGTGGGCGCCAGTTTGAGTCCCGGCTGCTCCACTTCCGACCCAGCTCTCTGCCGTGTCTGGGAAAGCAGTGGAGGATGGCCCAAGTCCTTAGGCCCCTGCACCCGTGCGGGAGACCAGGAAGAAGCTCCTGGCTCCTGGCTTCGGATCAGCCTAGCTCTGGCCATTGTGGTTATTTGGGGAGTGAACCAGCAGATGGAGACCTCTCTCTCTGTGTCTCTGTCTCTCTCTAACTCTGCCTTTCAGATAAATTGTAAAATAAGAAAGAGACGTCACCCACGTGGAACCCATACCCGGTCACACCGAAAGCAGAAGTCACTGCTGCTTGTGGGTGCTGTTCTGCGTAGACAGGGACCAGGGCAGGTGGCAGCCTGGTGGCAAGGACTCCAGTGAAAGCCCTGAGTCCTCATCAGAGCCTCCGGCTTTGATGGTGGCTCCTGACCCGCCTCCTGCTGCTGCACGGCCTGGGCGGCCATGGCGATGGCTCATGCCACTGATCCCAGCCGGGGCAGGCCAGACGTTTGGGGTGGAGGACTGGTCAGCCCCTCGGCAGGTGTCCAGGGGGTGAGTGTGGGTGGAGGACCGGTCGGCCCTCGGCAGGTGTCCAAGGTGTCCGGGCAGTGAGTGTGAGTGGAGGACCGGTCGGCCCTCGGCAGGTGTCCGGGCAGTGAGGACCAGTCGGCCCCTCGGCAGGTGTCCGGGCAGTGAGTGTGGGTGGAGGACCGGTCGGCCCTCGGCAGGTGTCCGGGCAGTGAGTGTGGGTGGAGGACCGGTCGGCCCTCGGCAGGTGTCCGGGCAGTGAGGACCGGTCGGCCCTCGGGCTCAAGCCTCCGTGGAGGAGGAGTGCTGCCGCTGTTCCTGACACAGCCGAGCAGCAGGGTCGCCGCCCTTTCTGAAGGCGCTGGTGCAGCCTCTCCCGCAGGTCCCGCCCCTCGACACCTGAGTCTGGTTCCCTGGGACGGGGCCTGGGTGTGAGGGTGGGGTGGGGCCCCGGGTCAGCCCCATGAGCTGCCTGCTGTCCCTGTGGGTTGGGCATCCTGGGAGGGGGTGTCCAGCCAGGGTCTGCTGTGGCTGAGCAGTGGGTGGGCTGAAGAGGAAGACTGACAGCGATGGAGGCACGTGACGCGGCCACCGGGCACCGCAGGCGCTGTGCAGTGTGGGCTCAGGGTGGGCGCTGCGGAGCAGCTGGCCTGCAGGGAAAGCAGATGCTGGCCACGTGCGGTGGCCACGTGCGGTTGCCACATGCGGAAGGCGGAGCTTGGGGTGGAGGCTGCAGGCTGGGCAGCGGATGCTCCGGGTGCCCGGGGCTGAGCCAGTGCTGCCACCGGATCTCGGGCCGGGCACGCGGCAAACCCGTGCGGTCTCCATGGGCCGCCCCAGGCACCTGGTTGCAGTGACGGAGACAGCCGTGCTGAGAACCCCGGAGACGCGGTGGGGGTGGGGTGGGGTGCTGCGCTCGCCCAGGCTGGGGTCTGTGCAGGGCCCATGGGTGACGGGGAGCAGGAGTCTGAGGCCCAGAGCAGCAGAGCCGGCGTGAGGCCGAGGCACAGCCCAGGGGAGCGTGTCGGTCTCGGGCTCTGGGGTCGCGGCTGTGATCTGAGTGGTGGAGTGGGGGTCTCTGCCGAGACGTGTGCCCTGTGTGCCGCCGAGCCCTTCCTGAGGGGCCAGCGCTGCGGCGTAGCAGGGGAAGCCTCCACCTGTGACCCCGCGTCCCACATGGTCACTGGCTGCAGTCCTGGCTGCCCATGTCCAGTCCAGCTCCCTGCTACTGCGCCTTGGAAAGCAGTGGAAGACGGCCCAGGTAGTTGGGCCCTGTACCCACGTGGGAGACCCAAAGAGGCTCCTGGCTCCTGGCTTCAGCCTGGCCCAGCCTCAGCCATGGTGGCCATTTGGGGAGTGAACCAGCAGATGGAAGATTGATCTCTCTCTCTCTCTGTAACTCTGCCTTTTAAATAAATAAATAAGTAAATAAATAAAATATTAAAAAACAAACAAAAAGCCTTTCTGAGAACAGTTTGCACCCGTGATGATCTCGCCGTGGACAGCCTGGGGCCGGCGCTGCCACACAGCGGGTGAGGCCACCACCGGCACCACAGACATCCCGTTCGGGTGCCAGTTCTCATCCCGGCTGCTCCTCTTCTGACCCAGCTCTCGGCTGTGGCCTGGGAGAGCAGTAGAAGATGGCCCACGTGCCTGGGCCTCGGCACCCACGTGGGAGATCCGGAAGAGGCTCCAGGCTCCTGGCTTTGGATCAGCACAGCTCCTGCCATTGGCGGCCATTTGGGAGTGAGCCAGTGGATGGAAGACCTCTCTCTCTGTCTCTCCCTCTCTCTGTAATTCTGCCTTTCAAATAAAGAAAGTCTTAAAAAAAGTAAAGAAGTGGGGACAGCTTCATAAATCAGCAGGTAGGGGGCCGGCGCTGTGGTGCAGCAGGTTACAGCCCTGGTCTGCAGTGCCGGCATCCCATATGGGCGCTGGTTCAAGTCCTGGCTGCCTCACTTCCGAACCAGCTCTCTGCTATGGCCTGGGGAAGCAGAAGATGGTCTAAGTGCTTGGGCCCCTGTACACGCATGGGAGACCTGGAAGAAGCTCCTGGCCCCTGGCTTCGGATCGGCCCAGCTCTGGCCGTTGCAGCCATCTGGGGAGTGAACCAGTGAATGGAAGACCTCTCTCTCTCCCTCTCTCTCTCTTTGCCTTTGCCTCTGCCTCTCTGTAATGCTATCGTTCAAATAAATAAATAAATAAACAAACCTTCTTTAAAAAAAATCAGCAGGTGGGAGACAAGGTGGGGGTCGTGCTCGGGTCTGCTCCTTCCGAGGCCGATCGGACGAAGAGTTAAAGACCCCTCCCTCCCAGGGGCCACTGCTCGTGACTCGTCCGCGGGGCCCAGGAGCACCCCTGCTCAGGGCTGAGCTGTGTGTTGGAGATGCGTTTCTAAAGCTTCATTTGTTTATTAAATTTTCATTTTATCTGAAAGGCGGAGACAGGTAGAGGTCCTCCACCCTCTGGCTCACTCCCCAGATGGCTACAACAGCCAGGGCTGGGCCAGGCCAGAGCCAGGAGCCCAGAACTCCGTCAGGTCTCCCGCGTGGGTGGTGGGGACCCGAGAACTTGAGCCGTCACCTGCTGCCCCCAGGGCTTGCACAAGCAGGGGGCAGAGGAGCTGGGGCCCCAGCCCAGGCCTTGACGAGGGATGCAGGCGTCCCACACGTGACTGAGCTGGCTGATGTTGGATGTGGGGTCCCACGCGTGACTGAGCTGGCTGACAGGATGTGGGGTCCCACGCGTGACTGAGCTGGCTGACGAGGGATGCAGGCGTCCCACACGTGACTGAGCTGGCTGACAGGATGTGGGGTCCCACACGTGACTGAGCTGGCTGACAGGATGTGGGGTCCCACGCGTGACTGAGCTGGCTGACACAGGATGTGGGTCCCACACGTGACTGAGCTGGCTGACGAGGGATGCAGGCGTCCCACATGTGACTGAGCTGGCTGACAGGATGTGGGGTCCCACGCGTGACTGAGCTGGCTGACAGGATGTGGGGTCCCACGCGTGACTGAGCTGGCTGACGAGGGATGCAGGCGTCCCACACGTGACTGAGTTGGCTGACGTAGGATGTGGGGTCCCACGCGTGACTGAGCTGGCTGACAGGATGTGGGGTCCCACGCGTGACTGAGCTGGCTGACGAGGGATGCAGGCATCCCACACGTGACTGAGTTGGCTGACGTAGGATGTGGGGTCCCACGCGTGACTGAGCTGGCTGACAGGATGTGGGGTCCCACGCGTGACTGAGCTGGCTGACAGGATGTGGGGTCCCACACGTGACTGAGCTGGCTGACGAGGGATGCAGGCGTCCCACACGTGACTGAGCTGGCTGATGTTGGATGTGGGGTCCCACGCGTGACTGAGCTGGCTGACAGGATGTGGGGTCCCACACGTGACTGAGCTGGCTGATGTTGGATGTGGGGTCCCATGCGTGTCTGAGCTGGCTGACAGGATGTGGGGTCCCACACATGACTGAGCTGGCTGACACAGGATGTGGGTCCCACACGTGACTGAGCTGGCTGACAGGATGTGGGGTCCCACGCGTGACTGAGCTGGCTGACAGGATGTGGGGTCCCACGCGTGACTGAGCTGGCTGACGAGGGATGCAGGCGTCCCACACGTGACTGAGCTGGCTGATGTTGGATGTGGGGTCCCACGCGTGACTGAGCTGGCTGACAGGATGTGGGGTCCCACACGTGACTGAGCTGGCTGATGTTGGATGTGGGGTCCCATGCGTGTCTGAGCTGGCTGACAGGATGTGGGGTCCCACACATGACTGAGCTGGCTGACACAGGATGTGGGTCCCACACGTGACTGAGCTGGCTGACAGGATGTGGGGTCCCACGCGTGACTGAGCTGGCTGACGTAGGATGTGGGGTCCCACGCGTGACTGAGCTGGCTGACAGGATGTGGGGTCCCACGCGTGACTGAGCTGGCTGACAGGATGTGGGTCCCACACGTGACTGAGCTGGCTGACGAGGGATGCAGGCGTCCCACACGTGTCTGAGCTGGCTGACGTAGATGTGGGGTCCCACGCGTGACTGAGTTCCTGGGGGAAATGCCAGCGCCAGGGCAGCCGCTGAATCCGTGCCGCAGGCGCCGAGCAGGAGGCTTCCTGTGCGTGCCGGTGCCGCGCTCCCGCCCGGGCCGTTTGCAGGGCCTTTGTGGTTCGTCTGCGCTGGTTACTCCGGCAGAGCCAGCCTAAAGGCGTCGCTGTGAGACTCGGAGCGCCCGATCGATCGATCGCTGTTTTCTGTTGCCCTGTCGGAGTGGGGGAGGTGGGAATTCAGGAAGAGCTTTGCCCTGCGCCTCTGGGGGCTGGGAGGCCCGGGTGGAGGCGCTGGCGTGTGGGGGCGAGAAGGGCTGACCTCGCTTGAATTTTATCTGGAAGGCAGAGACGGATCTCCGTCTGCTGGGTCGCCCCCAATGGCTGCAGCAGCTGGGGCCGGGCCGGGCCGGGAGCCGGGAGCTCCATCCATGTCCCCGGCGGGGGTGCAGGGGCCCAAGCACGTGAGCCACAGCCTGCTGCCTCCCAGCCGGAAGCCGCAGGTGCATTGCGGGAGGGGCGGTGTTGGCCGCAGAAACGGTTTCACGGCAGCCGGAGGCGGCGCCCTCCGTGAGCAGCACGCTGGTGCTCAGCGCGCGCGATGGGGGCCCTGCTGACCCGCCCCGCGAGCCCCCGTCTGGAGAGGGTCTTTGTGGGGGTGCGTCTTCCCAGAGCAGCCAGCGACAGGCCTGGTCAGCCACGTGCCCCCACCCCGGACACCTGCAGCCTGGGGTGGGGAGGAGGACGGGGTCGCGGGCTGCCTTCCCACAGGTGGCCCTGCCCATGCGCGTGCCCGCGTCTTCACACGGGTGCCAGCGTCCCGGCAGGGCCGCTCCTCGCCGGACACCTTCAGCAGCAACTTGCTGTGTGGTGGTGGGGGGTGTCTGCCGGGCCCCCTGTGCACAGCTGGGCCCACAGGTGGCCAGCGTCGTGGGGGTGGTGCCGAGACTCCCCCCAGGAATCTCCCGGGGCGTTTCCCGCACAGGTGATGCTGGGAGGCCCACAGCAGGGCCCCGCACAGCAAGGTGGAGCCTGAGACTTTGAGCAGCTTTAGGGTTAAACCCGTGGCCACCGCGTGTTCCGTGGGGGGTGCCATGCAGCAGGGCTGGCAGCGTGGAGACATGTAGTGCAGGAGCCAGTGCGTCTGGCGTGACCCGTCCTCTGCACCGTGCCCTGCCTGCCTCCAGCCGCCCAGCGCTCACCGGGCCTGGCCTCGGACACCGTTCTGGAAGGTTCACTCTGGCCCTCGCAGGCCGGTGTGGATGACCGTCCACGCCCAGGCTCTCCTGAGCTCTTGTGCCCCGGGCCTGATTCCCGAGGTCATCGTGGGTGTGCAGAGCCGTGCAGAGCTGTGTGTGCTTGTGGGCATTGCGGTCTCAGGTCCGACCGGGGCATGCTGGTGAGGGCCTCGGCTTGGGCTGCAGAGCCCCACGTTGGGCACAGCCGGCTCGGCATCTGCCATTGCTGCCCACGGGGCCTCGGCGGCCCTGCTGCGCCGACCTCCCTCCAAGCCCAGCCAGGCGCCTCCACCTGGACACCCAGGGACAGTGCTGCCTGCCCCTGGCCTGGGTGGGAGCGGGCTCCGAGGGCAGGGTGTCCACGTGCCTGGCGCCAACACTGGCCACCATCTGGGTGGCTGGAGGGGCCAGCAGGCCGCAGGTGGGAGGCTGCCCCGCCCACCGCCCACCGCCCGCTGACGCCAGGGCCTGTGTCCCGCAGTGAACGAGTTCACGGTGATCCGGAAGAAGTTCAAGTGCCCGTACTGCAGCTTCTCGGCCATGCACCAGTGCATCCTCAAGCGCCACATGCGCTCCCACACGGGCGAGCGGCCGTACCCCTGCGAGACCTGCGGGAAGAAGTTCACGCGGCGCGAGCACATGAAGCGGCACACGCTGGTGAGCAGGGGGGGCCGGCGGGGGGGCGCTCGCCCGCTCGGTCTTCTCCCGGCCCTGCCCGGGGCTGAGCGGTGCGATGCACTCCGTGAGCCAGGGTCTGGGCGACACCAAGCCCCCCACGCTGCCCCCCAGGCCCTCACTGGCTGCCGCTTCCCCCAGGTGCACAGCAAGGACAAGAAGTACGTGTGCAAGGTGTGCAGCCGCGTGTTCACGTCTGCCGCCAGCGTGGGCATCAGGCACGGCTCGCGGCGCCACGGTGTGTGCGCTGACTGCGCCGGCCGCGGCATGGCCGGCCCCGGCGACCGTGGCGGCGGCGGCGAGGGCTCTCCGGAGGCGCTGTTCCCGGGCGACGGGCCCTACCTGGAGGACCCCGACGACCCACGAGGGGAGGCTGAGGAGGAGCTGGGTGAGGATGAGGACGAGGACGTAGCCAAGTGGAAGGACGCCGTGGGCCTGGCGCAGGAGGACTCGCCGGGGCCCCAGAGCCCTCCCGGGGGGCCAGACAAGGACTTCAGCTGGCTCTCCTAGGCCCTGGCTGGGTGGGGGGTGATGGCTGCGTGGCCATGGCACTTGTGGCCCACAGGGTTCTGCACCCAGGGGCAGGGCCACGCTGACCCCTCCCTCCAGGCCCCCCGTGCCCTGCCCCTCTGGACACACGGACACCTTCCAGCCCCTGGGGGTGGAGGAGCAGCTGCAGCCCAGTGAGGGGGCCGTGGGTCAGCGTCTCGGCTGTGGCTGTGGGGCCTCAGGTCAGAGGAAGGCGTTGGGCTCCATGCACACTGAGCTGCGTGTGGCCTGGGCAGCTGGGTAACTGCCAGTGGCCACTGCTTCCGCCCAGCACAGGTCCAGTGCACAAAAGCCCTGCAGCCCTGACCTCTGGGCTCTGGTGCTATCCTCGGGGGGAGCAGGCAGGGCCCCGGCCCCCTCCCAGCCCTGCGCTCTGCGTGCTTCCTGGAGCTCTGCCACGGCTCCCGCTGACCCCGCGGGAGGGGCAGGCGCGGCTCCTGCCTGTTTGCTGCTAACACTGGAGGCGGGCGGGGCCCGGCTGCCGCGTGCTGCTCCAGCTCCGGGGTGATGCCGTGGCCGGCGTGTCCCCAGCGCTGGTCAGCGGCTCACACGCCGCCTGCACCCCCAGCACCCGTCGCATGGCTGCCTCGGGGCGCACGCTCCAACACATTCCAAGCCCTGCTCGCCCGCACCCACCCTTCCCTCCCCCGGGACCCTTGCAAGGTGCTGAGCCGGATGCCCACCCAGGAAGCATTTTCACGCTTCCTCCAGTCGGTCAACACACGGCTGTCGCAGGGCTGTCACTAACTTCTCTCGCGTCCACTGCTTCCCGGAAGAAAAGGGAAACCCCACAGAACCCTCACGCGGGTCCCTGTGGCCAGCCTTGGGTTCGCATCTTTGTTAAATCAGCCACACTTTGTGCAGCTGTTGGGACGGGCACGCACGCCCCTCCCCTGGGTGCTGGGAGCTCCTCCACCTGCAGTCCTTAAGCCGCAGGCCCAAGGCTCGTGGCCAGCTCTGGGTGGTTTGTTTGCCGCCCTGCTGCCGTGCCGAGGGACAGCGCGGTGCAGCCCCTCACTGACAGAGCCGCAGCTGTGCCTGCCCCGGGCCCGGAGCCCCTTGCTTTTTACCCTTTATCAGACGTCCGGAGCCCGGCCCTCAGCTGCTGCTGTGTCTGGGCTCTGCACCGGTGCCGCCCCGGCCACCCCGGAGGCGCCCCGCCCCGCCCCGCCCGGGCCGTGTGGCCGGGTCCCTCCCGCTCGAGGCTGCCCACATGCAAGAGGCAGACGTGACAAGGGTTTTTTTTTTTTTTTTTAACGTGACTGATTTTTTTTTTAAATTGATGTTCAAACTAATAAATATTTTTTTATGAAGAGGAACGGTTGTGTAGATTGCATTTCACGTCTGTACTTTGGTTTGTGTCGGCATCAGCAGCACCCAGGCGGCCTGGCCCCGGGGGTGGGTGGGGCGGGGAGCCCCGCCAGGTAGCGCCGTGGACGCTGGGTCTGAGCCGGAACACGCCGCCAGGACCCGCTGGGGACCGACTCGCGACGGCAGCCGCCTCCAACTTGGCACACCCTCCCGTTAAGAAAGGACTCAAAGTGCAGATCCCGGAGCTCCTGGCGACGTGGAGACCCCCGCTCGCGACACACAGCCCACGAGAGCCACGCTCCTCCCGTCTCGCAGACCCCTCCTGGACGCGGCCTTTCTGGAACCACTGGTCGTGGGGGTGCCGTGTGCTCTCCTTAAATATTTATTTTTTCCAACGTGCTTTCAACCTGTCCACGCAAAGTGACCAGGAAGCGGGCAGCGTCTGGACTACTGATGCCCCTGGGGTCACCTCGAGCCACTGACTTTTAGTCCATGTACTGTAGACGCGCTCAGTATCGGGGGGAGGCTTGGAGCCTGTGCCAGCCCCAGCCCTGGCTCCCGCCTGCCTGGGGGCGCTCTGTGACGGGATTGGCTTAGACGTTCTTGCAAAGCAGTCACTTCAAATAAACGCGGAAACCACCGCTCCGAGCAGACGTGTCCGTGTTTCCAAAGCCGCGTCCCCTTCGCCGACCTCACCCCTCCCCCCCCCAGGAGGCGTGTGAGGCCGAGGAAAACCCCAAAGTTTTTATTTTTCTCCTCGCCTGGCACGGCCCAGGCATGAGACACCTGAGCTTCGAAGACCTGGTAAAAACGTTTAGTGCGGCCGGGGTCGGATGGGCTCAGCGGCGGCCGGCGGGCGTGGGGCCCGGCCCAGTGGTGCCGTCGGCTGTAGTGCAAAACGCTGGCTTCTTGAGAGGCACTTTGGGTGGGGGGACAGGCCCTGTGGCGGGAGGGGACCCAGGGCGGGGCTCAGTCCAGGAACCGCTGGCAGGCCTTCTTCCACCGGCAGGCCGTGCACCACAGCTCCCGGCGCTCCATGCCGTACACCTTCCGGCACTTCTTGGCGTCCCCGCGGGGCCTCCTGGGGGACACACAGCGGCCATGGTGCACTGGCCGGCCGGCGGCTCCCTTCTGGTGCCTGCCCTGGCCCCTCAGCCCCCACGCACCTCAGGCTGGCACTGAGCTGGCAGGGCAGGGCGGGCACGCAGGTCCTGACCTCGGGGGGCGCCAGGCAGCCCTGGGGGGAGACACAGCCAGAGCTCGGAGCCCCTCCCGGGCGCACGAGACCGCCTGCACCTACCACCTGTGGTGTCACGCACCTGGTGGGCGGGGTCACTGCGGCCTGCCTGGGAGGGGGCCGCAGCGGTCAGCACAGGGGGCGGGAGCTCCGGGCGGAGGAGAGTGGGGGGCACAGAGGCCAGGCTGGACAGCCCATCGGCCAGCACGTCCACGCCGACGTCCAGCTCCGTGTAGTAGAAGTCCTCCTCGCCATCGCTCTGCTCGGGCTCTGCCTGCCTGCTGCTGGGGACGCACCCGCCAAGCTCAGAGGGCGGCCTGGGCCCCCCCACCCCGCCCAGCCCCAGGCCCCGCCGCACCCCAGGTGCACCAGGCGGATGTGTCTCTGCATGGCGGGCGCCGTGCCCAGCACCGTCCCACAGCTCTTCCACAGGCACTGGAACAGGACCCGGACCGAGCTCTGCAGACGGGGGCTGGGGTCAGCATCAGCCCCCTGTGCAGCCCCCACCCCAGCCTGCCCGCAAGCTCACCTTCTTCTTCCTCAGGGCGGGCTCCCCAAACAGGAAGTGGGCTGCCTCAGGGAACAGCGGCGGCTGCTCGCGGCTCAGGTCCCAGCCCCCGTCTCCGCTGCCCGGTGGCCGGGCCAGGGCTTCTCTCCAGGGCTCCCAGCCGGGCTCTGCGGGGACACACTGCTGCCGTCCCGCCCGGCCACCCCGACCCGCGCTGCGGCCCGTCTGCCTGGTCACCTGCGCCCAGCTGACACTGGTGAGCGCGCAGCCTCTCCGAGGAGGAGCCGGCCACAGGGGCCTGCAGAGCAGATGCCCCGCACCCGCCAGGTGGACACAGGACTCCCGTGTGCGGGAGGTGACGTGGAGGCAGCCGGCCCAGCGCCCACACCGCCGTGGCCTCCGCGTCCCTCAGGAAGGCGGCCGCAGGGCCCGGGTGGGGGGGAAGCCCTGGGGGGAAGCCCCGGGGGGGCACAGGCTGCAGAGCTCACCTGGGCTGTGGCTGCAGGCTGGGGCCGCCAGTGGGAGGGGGCCACTGCACAGGCTGGTCAGGGCTGCGGCGGCCACGACCTCCTCCGGCCTGGGGGAGACAAGGGGGGGCAGGGTGCGGGTGCAGCCCAGCGCGGCCTCCAGGCCCTCCCCGGGCTTGGGGTCCGTGTGCACATGCAGGCTGCCTGATCCTGGCGCTGGGCGGGAGGCCTGGCTCCACCCCTGGCTCGGGTTGCTGAGCCCGAGCGCCAGGAGTCACCAGGGCCGGGGTCTGGTCAGAGCCAGGGTTCTCTGCAGCTGGGCTTCGTGCCACCGTAGGTCCTTGGGACCCTGGCGCCGGGCAGGAGTCTGAGACGCCTGGGTGGGTGGGTGGGTGGGTGTCGGGCAGCGCAGGCCAGGCCCAGCCCTAGCCCCCCCTCCGGCACACATTAACTAGGGTTGTGCAATCGCGTCCGCGGGCGGAGCGCCAGGCCTGGGAGGGCGGGTGCTGCCGGCGGCCAGCGGCACAGGCGGGGACCCAGGTCCCTGCCGGACACAAGACACAGGCGAGCCCAGCGCGGGTCAGGCGCCCCAGGACTCAGGAAGCTCCGCCCCCCGTTCCGTGCCCAGCGTCCCCGCGCCGCTCCTCTGGGGCAGGCGAGCAGGGGTCAGGAGCAGAACCTTATCCCAGCACCTGGCGAGTCCTCTTTCGGCCTTCCGAGAGGGTCCCGCACGCGCGCCACCCGCCCGCCTGCCCCGCCCGGCTCGGCTCACCTCTGTGCTGGCACCGGGATGCGCGCCGACGCCGCCCCCGCCCACGGCCCCGGGGCCCCCAGGCCCGCGGCCCCCGGCTCCTGCGGCAGCGCGAACTCCGGGCCCGCAGAGCCGCCGCCCACGCAGGGGCCCTGCGGAGGGGGCAGACTCAGCGCGGGACGCGGCCAGCGCCCAGCCTCGTCCAGACTGACTCGCGGACACGCGCGGCCGCCCCGCCACGCCCCCCGGCCCAAACTTTGCGCAGCTCCGACGCCATCTTTGCAGCCATAGACCCGGGCCGGCGCCCCGCCCCCCGGCGCCCGGTACCTGCGGCGGCGCAGGCACGGTCGGGGGCGCTTGGGCTCGCAGCGCGTCCGGGTCCGGGCCCTCGGCGCCGGACTGGGGGCGTCCGCAGCCCGAGCCGGGCGCCGAGCGGCGCTCCGCCTCCATGGCCGGTCGGCTGCCAACGCTGCAGCGGCGGTGACCGAGTCTTGGACGCGGCCCGGGCCAGGCCGGGCTGGCCGGGCCGCCGACCCCAGCCCCGGATCGGGCCGCCACCCGCGCCACTCCGCCCAGCCCGCCCCCTCCCCGCACGCTCCGCCCCCTGGCGCCCATTGGCCCTCGCGCGGCACCAACATCCCGAGGGGGGCCCCGCCGCGCCCCCATTGGCCCGCTCTGTACCCCACCCCCGACAGGGCCGCTCCCGCGCTGGCCGGGCTCAGCCCCCAGCCCAGCCCCGGCGCCCGCGCGGCCCCGCCCCCAGGAGCGCGGGCTTATCCCCGCGCGCTCACGGCGCGGCCAGGGCCAGGAAGGGGCCGCGTTCCCCGGACACCAGCTTCCCGGCGGGTTACTCTCTAACCCGCGCAACCCGCCGCCCCCGCATCCCCGAGGTCGGAAGGGGGTCTCCGACGCTTCGACGAAGGGCAGGACAGGAGGCGCGCGCGTTTCATGTTCCTGATAAATGCGGTTTATTAGGACGAGGCTCGCGGCCCGGCTGTCCGGGCCTTGTGGGGTCAGCGGCGGATGCACGTGCTGGGGTGCTCGGGGCGGGGTGAGGTCTTGTAAGGCCTGCGGGGGAACGAACAGGTGGGAGCCCCCTCGCAGGTGTCCATGCCACCCTCGGGCGGAGGGGGGGCCGGGGCCTCGGGCACGCGAGGTCGCGTCTCTCGAGTGCTCATACACGGTTTCCAGGGGCCGCTGTCCAGGCCCAGGTCCAACCACGCCCCAGAGAGTGGCTGCCTTGCCCCGGGGCGGTCGGCCTGCGTCTCCCCATGCGCTTGCAGCCCCTGCAGTCCAGGAGGTCCACCTACAAGAGGACGCGCGCAGGGGTCGGCGCCACCCACACGTGAGGCCCTGCGCGGCCCTGCACACGCACCCCTGTACCTGAGCTGGTGGGGCCACCCCGGCCGGGCCCCCTGCAGCTCCTGGGGGTCAGCCTGTCCTGGCCTCCGGCCGCGGGCATACTCAGCTGGTGGAGCTGTGCCCTTGCCTGCAGCACCAGGTTGGCCGCCGGGCCGGCCGCACACTGGAGGTAGCTGCTGGGGCTGGAAGGCAGAGGGGGCTGCCTGTGGCTGGTGCGGGCGCAGGAGGTCCGGGCAGGTGAGGGTGGGGGAGTCCCCGGCCCACCCGGCATCCCCTCTGCGCTCATCTCTGTGGGGCGGCTTGTGCCGGCCGGGTCCGACTGACGGAGCGGAGGTGGGCTCCAGTCAGCCTGACAAGGGAGCCGGGTTGTCCCCCACCTGGCCCGCCCTGGCCCCAGGGACAGCCTGGCACTCACCACCTCCACCACCAGCATCAAATGGTCCCGTGGCCCAGCCGGAAGCCTCCGCACCCGCCTCCTGGGGACAAGAGCGGTGTTACTCCAGTCGGAGGACGGGGCCGGAGCAGTCGGCCTGGGTGCGAGGCACTGCCTGCCCGGACGAGAGAACACAAGCCCTGCGGGCTTACCTGCAGCAGGCAACGCCGCCCAGGGCCCCGCGGGTGTGGAGGGGGCCTGGGGGCAGAAGAGAAGGCGCCCACGTGGTGGCCCTTTTGCATCTCGCCTGGGTAGATTTGAAACACGGCAAGCCCTGGCCCTGCCCCAGAAGCACTCACATTCCCGCCCGGCTCTGGGCTCCTGGTGAAGGGTGTGGTGCCCCATCAGCCAGTGAAGGTGACCCTGGTGATGGCCCAGCCTGGCCAGTGAGGAACAGAGGGCAACTGTGACCCGGCCAAGGCCCCAGGGGAGGTCAGACGCCTGGCCTGTGGGCCGCAGACCTCACCCACAGCTGCCCCTGCCTCGGGCCTCACCGCAGTCTGGCCTGAGCGGCGGGGGAGGGGGAGGCCAGACCTGGGGAGAGGCCTCTGGCTGAGTGGCCCCCCACGTCCCAGGCCCCAGGCCCCAGCTCTCCTCTGCCCAGGTGGTACCGGCGCAGGTCCTTACCAAGGCCATGGTAGGCAGCTCTTCTCAGCCCGTCTAGGGGAGCTCCCTGCCTCACCCAGCAGCCAGCAGCCAGCAGCCAGTACCACAGCCTCACCCCAAGCTGGCACCTCCGGGACAGCCTCACTCGTGTCCGCCTCGGGCAGGGCTGGTGACGCGGATGGGCAGCGGCTGTCTCCGACCCTGTCCAGCTGCCCCTCAGGGGTCCCAACTTCTTCCTTCTGTGGTCGCCCCTCACCCAGCTCGCTGCTGGGCAGAACAGGGCACGGGGCCGACCCCCTCGGCTGGGAGACAGGGAGGACGCCAGCCTTCCTGGAGCCCTGTGCAGCATGCCCCCCCCGACACCCACAGCCTTCCTGGAGCCCCGTGCAGCATGCCTCCCCCCCGACCCCCATAGCCTTCCTGGAGCCCTGTGCAGCGTGCCCCCCCGACCCCCACAGCCTTCCTGGAGCCCCGTGCAGCATGCCTCCCCCCCGACCCCCACAGCCTTCCTGGAGCCCTGTGCAGCATGCCCCCCCCGACCCCCACAGCCTTCCTGGAGCCCCGTGCAGCATGGCCCCCCCGACACCCACAGCCTTCCTGGAGCCCCGTGCAGCATGGCCCCCCCGACACCCACAGCCTTCCTGGAGCCCCGTGCAGCATGCCCCCCCCGACCCCCACAGCCTTCCTGGAGCCCTGTGCAGCGTGCCCCCCCGACCCCCACAGCCTTCCTGGAGCACTGTGCAGCGTGGCCCCGACACCCACAGCCTTCCTGGAGCCCTGTGCAGCGTGCCCCCCCGACACCCACAGCCTTCCTGGAGCCCTGTGCAGTGTGCCCCCCCGACCCCCACAGCCTTCCTGGAGCCCCGTGCAGCATGCCCCCCCCCGACACCCACAGCCTTCCTGGAGCCCCGTGCAGCATGGCCCCCCCGACACCCACAGCCTTCCTGGAGCCCCGTGCAGCATGCCCCCCCCGACACCCACAGCCTTCCTGGAGCCCTGTGCAGCGTGGCCCCGACACCCACAGCCTTCCTGGAGCCCTGTGCAGCGTGCCCCCCCCGACACCCACAGCCTTCCTGAGCCCCCTGTGCATTGTGGCCCCCCCCGACCCCCACAGCCTTCCTGGAGCCCTGTGCAGTGTGCCCCCCCACCGACACCCACAGCCTTCCTGAGCCCCCTGTGCATCGTGGCCCCCCCCCGACACCCACAGCCTTCCTGGAGCCCTGTGCAGCGTGCCCCCCCCCCCCGACCCACAGCTCAGCCTCCACGGAACACTGATGAAGTGACTTTAATGTCCTAAGGAGAGGCCCAGCACACGGCAGGTGTCCGGAAGTGACCCTCCAGCCCCACCTCCACTGGACAGCGTCTGTGTCCCCGAGGCCAGGGAGCCCACCACGGGGCAGCCTGGGAGCAGAGTCCTTCTTCAGGCAGTGTCCTGGGGTCAGGGCGGCCCCGGGGGCGGGGTCCTGGGCCTCCAGCCCCGGGGGTGGGGCCTCTAGAACTCCGTCATCTTCTTGTGGGTGTCTGCCTTGCTCTGCGCCCGCTGCAGGCCGGCCTCCTGGGCGCGGAGCTGCCCCAGCCGCCGCTGGGCTCCTGCCAGTTTCTCTTCCAGCTGGGCGGCGGCCACGCTGTACCTAGGGAGGGAGCAGTCAGCATGGACCCCGGCCCACTGCCCCCAGGCCAGCCTGCTGCTTCCGGGCCAGGTGTCCGCAGCCTACATACCGGCCGGTGTTCCGGGCCAGGGCCTCCTGGATGGCCCGGATGTCCCGCTGTGTCCGCTCGATCTTCTCTTCCGTCTGGAGGAGCCGCAGGCTCAGGGCCTGCTTGGCGCTCTTGCTGGCGTGGTACATGTCCTTGCCCCTCCTGGACGGGGCCACCTCGGCCTCCGGAGCCCCAGGGGCCTGGCCTTGAAGCTTCTCATTCAGGAAGTCAAACAGGCTCCGAGGGGGCGGGGCACCCCCGGGCCCGCCCCCGCGCCCCCGGCTCCGCGGGGCCCTGCTGGCGCCTGCCCCATCCCCCTGCGCCCTCTTCTGCAGGATCTCCGCACACTGGTCCAGCGACTTCCCCCGCGGCAGCACCACCGCCTGCACGGGCTCCACCCTGCCTTCCAGGTTGCGGCCCAGGCCTGGGGAGACAGGGGCTGGCCGTGCTGCTGCTGCACCCCAGGGCTGTCCTGGGCACCCTCCCCCGCCTCCGGGCAGCTGACAGCTCACGCTCACCCTTGCCAAACTCATAGCCCATCTTAGCCAGGAGTCTGGAGCCGATGGCCCGCGTGTGCGCCTCCCAGCCAGCAAAGGCAGAGCTGCAGGTCCCAGTGTCCACGGCGCTCGGCTCCACCACTGCAGGGGACAAGACGGCAGTCACTGGGCCAGGCCAGATCCCAGCTCCCGGGCACGTCCCTGTGCACCTGTGGGCTCGTGACCGCCCCCAGCTCCCCCCACACCTCGCTATGGCCCCTTCTCCAAATCCCACCCTCGATCCTGCCTGCATCGCCCAGGGTACAGGGCCAGGGACACACCAGTCTCTGGAGGGCTGGCCACGCCCACCAGCTTCCCTGCCTGCCACTTCTGCCCCAGCAGTCTGGACGCTGTCTGGACGCCCCCTGGTGCCAGGCCCTGGGGCTGCACGGCCAGTCCTCCCGCGCATGCTCAGCGAGGACCGAACAGCCGTCCCCACTGGCCCCGCTGGGCGTCCCCCTGTCCTGGCTCCTGGGCACCAGGCCGTGGCCGTACCGCGGGCATAGCTGGCGCCGTCTGTGTCGCTGCTCTCCGAGTCGGAGGACTCGGTGGCTTCCGTGCGCAGTGGGGGCAGGACGCCGTCGCCTTCCACCACCGCTTCCTTCAGCAGCAGGGAGTCGAACTTGACTGTGTAGTAGCCACTGTCCACATCTGCAAGGACAGGCAGGCTGAGGTGAGCGGCTACAAGCGGGGAGCAGGGGGCCAGGCAGGGTCCACCCCAGGGAGGCGCTCGGAGGCCTTCCCAGGAAGGTGACCGGGCCAGCCTCACCAGTGATCCGCGCTGGGTGCCAGAGGCCGTCCTGGTGCTTGGCCAGACACGCAGAGCCGACCTGCAGGGAGCTCAGGTCCGGGTCCTGGAAGGGACGCAGCTCATCGACAGGGACCACCTGCCCGTGGGAGAACCTGCAGAGAGCCACACCGGCTGCTGATGGAGGGCACGCACACACGCGTGTGCTCTCGCACGCACACACCTGTGCTCACAGAGGCATGCACACACTGGGCCTCTGCTCATCCACGTGTCCTGGGCTACAGGGACCACGTGGCAGCAGCCAGTCTCGCTCCTGCACACACTCAACCTCTGCCTGTCCTGGGCCACGGTGACTGTGGCCACACCCTGGCCATAGCCTTGGCCCCTCCCCAACGACTCCACCCCAGACAGAAGCAGTCAGTCCCAGCAGACGGGCTGGAGTGACTGCAACAGCGGCGCCTCCACCCTCAGCTCCCAGTGGGCAGCAAAACCAAAACCAAGACCCAGAAGAGACAACGAAGAGGAAATGGCGCGGGCAGACACAGGGCCGTGACCTTTCACCTTGCCCAATAAGACACAGAAATCCCGACTGCATCATTTCAAGAGGGCACGCGTATCTGGCCCTACGGGGGTAGCTCCGCGGCTGCAGCCGCCGCCGTCCTCAGGCCAACAGCTGAGTGGCGCCGGCAGCTGTGACTGTGCCCAGGATGGCTGGACAGGGCTGCTGGCGGGGGGAGCTGCCAGACACCCCGCACTCCCGACACAAGCCTCCCAATTCGGAACAGGCTGAGTAGGCCGCAGGCTTTCCTCCAACTGGAAGACCCACGCCTGGGGAGAGGACCCCACACAGGCGCACAGAGCTCACTCCCTGCCCGCGTCGTGCAGGCACAACACGGAAAAGCTGCACCTGGGGTCTGCACGTTTTAGGGTTCATTTATGGGAGAGGCGGAGAGGCCCTCATCCGCTGGTTCACCAAATGCCCACAACAGCCGGGCTGGGCCAGGCTGAAGCCAGGAGCCAGGAGCTCCACCCGGGGCCTTGCAGGGGCTGGCAGGGGCTGGAACACTGAGCACCCCGCCGCCCCCGGCTGCTTCGCAGCTGCGGGAGTGCTGGCCTCACTCACCGCACCAGAGACCGGGCCGCACTCGTCTCACAGCTGAGATACACATCTGTGCCCAACGGTTACAGTTTGGAGCCTTTTGGATCCTGGATCTTGGATCACCTTTAGCTGAACAAGGGCTTCTAGAAATGCCACCATTTGCAAAGATTTAGCAACACAAAGACTTGGAAACAACCACCAACCACAGGAAGGGGAGGGAGGGGAGTCACCCACGTCCACAGAGGGCGCCCAGGGTGACAGAACAAGCAGGGAGCCAGGCAGGTGCCGGGGGCATGCACGCACGCACGCTCCATACCACAGACAACATGGCACAAATTAGCTGGCGGAAAACACAGGTTTTATCTTTTCATTATTAGTTTTTAGATTTATTTATTTGAGAGGCAGAGTTGCAGACAGACAGGCCTTCCATGCGCTGGGTCACTCCCCAGACCGCTGCAACAGCCAGGGCTGGGCTAGGCCAGAGGTAGGAGCCCGGAGCTCCACCCAGGTCTCCCGCGTGGGTGCGTCACTGCAGCCTCCCAGGAGCGCTGCCGGGGAGCTGGATTGTCCGTGCAGCAGCTGAGACGTGAACTGGGCTCCTGAGGGATGCTGGTGCTGCTGGTGGCTTAACCACTGGGCCACAAGGCCAGGCCCAGAGACGGGCTTCAAAATTCACAAATAAAAAACTCCAACCAATTACCCACCTCCCAGCAGTCACAGATATACATCCCCCCAGCAAGTGTTTAGGACTCTACAAGATACGCCTAGAAGTGGACGCCTGTCACAGCCCGAGCCGCACTCCTGGGCTCCTCCCCGGGTCGGCGCCGGGGGCGGCCACACACGGCAGAAGGGCACGGGTGAGCCAGGCCCTGGCGCCACAGCAGTGACTCCTGAAACTCACAGCTCTGGTCGGGGTGGGCGCAGGCACAGCGCGCGGAGGCTGCCAAGGCACCGGCACCTGCGCCGCTGGCTGCTCTGCTTCCAACACAGCTTCCTGTGGACGTGCGCCCTGGCAGGCGGCAGGGACGGCTGGACACTCGGTCCCCGCCCCCACGTGGGAGGCCTGGAACCAATCTCAGGCTCCTGTTTTGTGTGTGTGTGTGTGTTGACAGGCAGAGTGGACAGTGAGAGAGACAGAGAGACAGGTCTTCCTTTGCCGTTGGTTCACCCTCCAATGGCCGCCGTGGCCAGCGCACTGCACTGATCTGAAGCCAGGAGCCAGGTGCTTCTCCTGGTCTCCCATGGGGTGCAGGGCCCAAGCACCTGGGCCATCCTCCACTGCACTCCCGGGCCACAGCAGAGAGCTGGACTGGAAGAGGGGCAACCGGGACAGAATCTGGTGCCCCGACCGGGACTAGAACCCGGTGTGCCAGCGCCGCATGGGGGGGGATTAGCCTAGTGAGCCACAGTGCCGGCCAAGGCTCCTGGTTTTGGCCTGGCCCGATCCTGGCTGTTACAGACACCTCAGGAGCGAACCAGTAGGTAGAAGATCTCTCCTGCCTTTCAAAAAAGGACGGAGAGGAAAGGCGGGGGGAAGAGAAATTATATAAAAGGAATTAAATGGAGATCTGGGTTCCAAAAAAAAAATACACCAGATGGAGGGAGGGCGGACAGCACAGGAGACTTCTGTGCCGTGGTGCAGGAGGCCAGCGCGGCTCTGGAACCGAGGCGCACACACCAGGAGGGAGCCCGGAAGCCGCGGCCTGGCCTGCGGTGCTGAGCGCGCCACACCTGTGTGCCTCCTGCTGGTCTGCTGAGAGCTACAGCGCTCTAAAAAGAAAGCCTCTTTCTAACTCCCCGGGTGAACGCAACAGCAGGTAAAGGAAATCAACAGAATCAAGTATTCTGAGAAATAAAGAGAAACAGGATGAACAGGCTCGGAGGCCCGCACACGGCACACGTGCTGCCGCCTTCCGAGCCCAGCAGGAAATCAGAGGGAAAGGCAGGAAAAAGATTTGATAAAATAATGGGTGAAGACTCCCCAGATTTGGTGAAACAGAAGAAAACACGGGGCTGGCGCAGTGGGTCAAGCTGCTGCATGCGACGCTGGCTCCCCCATCAGTCTGAGTCCCCGCTGCTGTGCTCCCGAGCCAACTCCCCGGCGATGCCCTGGGGAGACAGTGGGAGATGGCCTGCGCACTTGAGTCCCCGCCACCCACACGGGAGACCCGGACAGAGTGCCAGGCTCCTGGCTTTGGCCTGCTCCAGGCCTGACTGTGGCAGCCATTTGTGGACTGAACCAGTGGATGCTCCGTCTCCCCTCTCTGTCACTCTGCCTTTCAAATAAACAAAACAAAGCAGTGGCCAGCTTTGTGGTGCAGCAGGTAAAGCCACTGCATCCCATGTGGGCACTAGTTCAAGTCCCAGCTGCTCCACTTCTGATCCAGCTCCCTGCTGATGGCCTGGGAAAAGCAGTGGAAGCCAGTCCAGGTGTTAGGCCCCTCCCACTCACATGGGAGACCCAGATGGAACTCCTGGCTTCCGCCTGGCCCACAGCTGGCCACTGCGGCCATCTGGGGAGTGAAACAGTGGATGGGAGATGTTTCTTTTTTTAAAGGTTCATTTATTTATGAGGACAGTGCTGTGGCACAGATTAAACCTCTGCCTGCAGTGCCAGCATCCCGTATGGGCACTGGTTCATGTCCTGGCTGCTCCTCTTCTGATCCAGCTCCCTGCTAATGCACCTGGGAAAGCAGTAGAAGACGACCCAAGTGCTCAGGCCCTGCACCCATGTGGGAGACCCAGAAGAAGTTCCTGGCTTCGGACTGGCCCAGCTCCAGTCGTTGCATCCATCTGGGGAGTGAACCAGTGGATGGAAGACCTTTCTCTCTGTCTCTCCCTCTGTCTGCAGCTCTCTCTTTCTCAAAAAAAAAAAAAAAAAAAAGTTACTGAGAGACTGAGAGGGAGAGGTGGAGAAGGAGGGGAGACGGGGGGGGGGGGGAGGGGGAGAGGGGGAGAGGGAGGGAGAGTGAGAGTGAGTCTTCCATCCACTGGTTTATTTCCCAAATAGCCAAAATGGCCAGGGCTGCGCACGGCAGATTCCAGTAGCCTCTTCTGGGTCTCCCCCGTGGGTGCAGGGGCCCAAGTGCTCGGGCCATCCTCCACTGCCTTCCCAGGCCACAGCAGGGAGCTGGATGGGAAGTGGAGCAGCCGGGACTCGAACCAGCGCCCAGAACAGGACGTCGGCACTGCAGGCAGACGCTCTGCCTGTTCTACCTCAGTGCCGGCCCCTCTAACTTTGACTTTCAAAAGAAATGAATGAATCTCTAAAAGACAAAACAAAATCTACAGATCTAAGAGGCTTCCCGAACCCACGTGGGCTGAGCAGAGTCACACCTGGGACTCACCGCAAGTTACTCAAGGCCGAGGACAGAGAACACTTCAAGGGCTGAAAACACAGGCGGGCACTGACGCAGCGGCTAAGCCGCCCTGGGGGCACCGGCAGCCCTCGCTGAGGGCCCGGTCCTGGCCCAGCTCCCTGCCCGTGCGCGCCCTGGGAGGCAGCAGGTGACGGAGCAAGGGCTTGGGTCCCTGCACCCACGTGGGAGACCGGCCGGGGCCTGGTCCCGCCGCGGCTGCTGCAGGCATTTGGGGAGTCAATGAGTCAAGGGAGAGTCTCTGTCAAATAAAATGAAAACAGCAATAAACAGGGAGAGAACTCGTTCTTCATGTACAGGGCACAGCAATCTGCAGGAAGACGCCGCCCAGCGCCGCGTGGCGACAGCCGAGAAACCCGCACCCCACCGGGACGCGGGCCTGTCCCGCGAGGAGCCCCACGGGAGTCACCAGACCACAGCGACCGCAGCTCAGGCTGACAGGGAAGGGCGGCGGGACAGCGGGCGCGTGTGCACACGCGTGCCGGTCGGGGCTGGTAACTGCGCTGCCTCCAGGAACTCAGCTCCTCCTGAGGCTCGCTCAGAGACCCCAGGGAAGTGACTGGACAGGGCGGCTGAGGGCCAGCGACAGACAGGAAGCCAAGGACCCAACTCTGAGAAGACGGAGCCATCAAAACCGTCAGAACCAGGGCCGGCGCCGTGGCGCAGCGGGTAAAGCCACCGCCTGCAGGGCCAGCGTCCCACGGGGGCGCCAGTCCGAGTCCCGGCTGCTCCACTTCCCATCCAGCTCCCCCGTGAACGATTCTTTCTAAAAATGTATTTATTCGAGAGGACAGACTTTACTGGTTCATCTCCCAGATGCAAACGACGGCCAGGACGAGGCCAGGCCAGGGCCAGGAACTCCACCTGGGGACCCAACGGCCGGAGCCCTCCCTGCTGCCTCCCAAGGCCCACAGTAGCAGGAGCTGCAGGCGGCACTGCAGGGGGACGTGGGGTCCCAACAGCCCCCCACTCCAGTCGAACGCCCGTGCGTGGGCTGGAATGGAGCTCTGATGCACGCCACACGGTAATGGGCCCTGAAACCAGGGCTAAGTGAAGTAAGCCACAGAAAAAGGCGGGGTGACAGGCAGATCCCACTGTGACGTGTGGAGACACGGCCGATCAGAGACAGCAGGGGCTGGCCAGGCCGGGAGCTACGGCAACACCAAGCGGGGGCTGGTGCTGTGGCCGAGGGTGAAGCTGCCGCCTGTGGCGCTGGCACCCTACTGCAGTGTGGCTTCCACTCCAGCTCCCTGGTCACGCGCCTCGGAAGGAAGCAGACGATGGTCAAGTGCTGGGGCACCCCGGCTCCAGTCCTGGCTCCAGCCTGGTCCAGCACAGCCCAGTCCTGGCTCTGGCTTGGTCCAGCCTGGCTGTGGAGGCCCCCTGAGGAGTGAACCAGTGGGTGGGAGATCTCTGTCTCTCCCTCTGTCACTCTGCCTTTCAAACAAATAAATAAATTTTTTGAATTTGGTGTGGCCTTGTGGGGAGTGAGTCAGCGGATGGAAGATCTTCGTCACTTTGTCTTTCAAATAAATCGATCTAAAAAAGACAAGGAGTGCTGAGCCAGGGCGCGGGCGAGCCTGGGGAGCCCGGCCAGCGGCCACTGCTGGAGGGGCGGCTATTTCCCGGCCAGCTGGTCAGGGAGTCCATCTGGTCACACAGCGTCTGACCTCACAGCCCGGCACAGCGCCCAGTTCCGTCGAGGGAGGGGGTCTGAGACAGTTTTTTGGCCGTCCTCGCCAGACACAGGGGAAACAGAGTCCAACCCGGGCCCCCGCAGCTCCCGGTCAGGCAAGGTCACTGCCGCCAGGGCTCGGCCGGGCAAAGCTCTCCCTGGAGGCGGGGACAGAACAGAGAGGCAGCATCCACAGGGCTGAACACACCGCCCACGCGACACACGCCGGGACGCCTCCAGCAAGAGCAGGCGCACCAACGGCAGAGGCGGCACACTGCAGGGGACCCACGCAGCGGGAGCCCAGCCCGTTTTGTTTCTGTTGTCTTAAAAGTCCAGGAAAACAACTTTGCAACCCTAGCCGTGCTTGGGCAGGTGTATGTAACCCGCTCTGCAAGTCTTCAGAACGGCCGGGCCGCCTCGGCCAGCAGCGCCCGGCGCCTGCTGCCCCCGCCATGCGGAGCGGCGGGGACGGAGCCCCGAGACCCCGGGCAGGAGAGCCCAGCCGCCCCGCCTGCACGCTACAGCAAGACTCCAGGGAGGAAGCAAGGAGGGGAGACGCGGGAGACGTGCCGGCAAGGCTGGGCCCCGCGTCGTGGCCGCCCCGCCCCCTTCTCCAGCCCTGGCCGCTGCGGCCATCTGGGGAGTGACCAGCGGATGGATGACCTCCAAGTCGTTCAAGTGAACGAATACTTTTACAAAGTCGGGAAGGGAACGCAGGGGCGCGAGACTGGCAGAGCCAGGGCAGCGGGGGAGGTCACGGCGCCGCCCCTGCTCTGCGCACGCGGGGGGACCCCCGCAGGAAGGTACGCTCCACGTCTTCCCGCGGAGGCGGCGGCTGGGCCGCACCGGCTCCGGCCTCCCGCAGACGCGCCCGGGGGTTCCCGCGCCTCACCTGCAGCGCTCCGTGAAGCGGCACCTGCCCTCCAGGAAGAACGGGCAGGGCTTGAGCGCCGCGCGCGTGGGGCACAGGCAGAGCACGCGCACGCGCGCCGCGCCGCCGCGCGCCTCCTCCGTGCCCACCACCATGGCGTTGTGGTACTCGGCCGAGCCCCAGGCGCTGTAGAAGGGGGCGTTCACCTTGGTCCCGCTCAGCTCCTCGGCGGGCGCGGGCGCGGGCGCGGGGCCCGCAGCGGCGGCCGGGGCCGGGGGCTCAGGCGGGGCGCCGGGCCCGTCGGACGCCAGGCCGGCCTCGGTGAGCTCGATGAGCTCCCGCAGGTCCCGCTGCAGCTGGCGCAGGTCGGCCTCCTCGGGCGAGTCCCGGCCGGCGCCCAGGGCGCGCTCCACCTGCTGCAGCTGCGCGCGGTACGTCTGCAGGGCCGCCTCGTCCATGCCGCGGGCCGCGCGGCGCCGGGGGCGCCCTCCGCCGCGTCCGCCCGGGCCGGCCTCCTCCGCGCGGCCCCCGGGCCCCCACCACAGCCGCCCGGCGCCCCTTCCGCCCTCGCCGCCGCTGCCGCCGGCACTTCCGCTCCGCGCCGGAAGTGCCGGGCGCGCGGGGGCCGCCGGGACGCGTCCCGTCAGGCGCCGCGCGGGGTCGGCGCGGGGTCGGCGGGGCCCGGCGCTCGGCTGCTCCGCGCGTCTGGCGGGCGCAGGTAGGCTGCGGGCCCGGGGGCCGTGCGGCCGGGACGCGGGGCGGCGGGAGCCGAGGCCCGTGCGGGAGCCGCCCCCGGGCCCGCCTCGAGCCTGGCGGGGCGGGGCGCGGGCCCGGGCCCGACGGCCGTGACGTGTCTCGGTGTCCAGGGCAGGATGTACACGCTGCTGTCCGGCCTGTACAAGTACATGTTCCAGAAAGACGAGTACTGCATCCTGATCCTGGGGCTGGACAATGCCGGCAAGACGGTAGGTGCCCGGCCGCGGCCCGGAGCGCTGGGCTGGGGCCAGGCCCCGCCCCCTGAGCGGCAGCGGCTCGCGGCCCTGCCTGCACTGGCCCCCGACGCCGCCCGCCCTGTCTCCCCAGACCTTCCTGGAGCAGTCGAAGACCCGGTTTAGCAAGAACTACAAGGGGATGAGCCTGAGCAAGATCACCACCACCGTGGGCCTCAACAGTAAGGCGGGGCCTCTGGCGCGGGTGGAGCCCTGAGCCTGCTGTGACGGCCACGGCCCAGCAGCTGGCCACCGCAGCCCGGCCTGACTGCTGCTGACCCCGGGGCCGCCCTGACCGATGGTGACCCCAGACCCTGCCCTGCCCTCCTCTGCTGACCCCCAGGGCCTGCCCCGACTGATGGTGACCCCAGACCCCGCCCTGACCGATGGTGACCCCAGGGCCTGCCCTGCCCTCAGCCGCTGACTTCCCAGCAGCGCCAGTGGGTTGTTGGTCCCCCAGGAGCTCTGGCACGTGTGTGTCCAGGGGCAAGGTCACGAGCCTTTCCTGTTCTCTGTCCAGTCGGCACCGTGGACGTGGGGAAAGCTCGCCTCATGTTCTGGGACCTGGGCGGCCAGGAGGAGCTGCAGTCCTTGTGGGACAAGGTAAGACGGCCCTGCGCTGCCCCGCCCATGCCATGCCGCCCCGCCCCGCCCACGCCATGCTGCCCCGCCCACACCGCGCTGCCCGCCCACACCGCGCTGCCCCGCCCATGCCATGCCGCCCCGCCCACACCGCGCTGCCACGCCCACACCGCGCTGCCCGCCCACACCGCGCTGCCCCGCCCATGCCATGCCGCCCCGCCCACACCGCGCTGCCACGCCCATGCCATGCTGCCCCGCCCACACCCACACCGCGCTGCCACGCCCATGCCATGCTGCCCCGCCCACACCGCGCTGCCACGCCCATGCTGCGCTGCTCCACCCACAAGGCACTGCCCCGCCCATGCCATGCCGCCCCGCCCACACCGCGCTGCCACGCCCACACCGCGCTGCCCGCCCTGCCCGTGGTCCCTGCTGTCCCTGCTCCTGTCGGTTCCCGAGTTGCGCCACCTCTTGTCTCACTCAGCCCCTTCCCGGAGTGGCCCCAGAAGTGGTGGTGGAGCGTTCCCCCGGGGCAGCGGGCAGGCGTCCAGGTGCGCAGTGAGGAGAGGGTGTGGCTCATCTGAGGGTTTAAGGAGTTCGGTCCAGGGCCAGCACTCTAGGGTCAGACACAGCCGGTGAGTGTGGGACTCGCAGGCCCGGCTCAGGCTCACGTGTGCAGGGGACGCCCGCGCTGCCGGGTCAGTGTTCCCGGTGAGGAGACAAAGTGGGGGCCCCGGGGACCCTGCCTCCCCCAGAGTGAGTGCACACCTGCTCCCCCCCCAGTGCACACCTGCTCCCCCACAGTGCACACCTGCTCCCCCCAGTGCACACCTGCTCCCCCCAGTGCACACCTCCCCCCAGTGTACACCTGCCCCCACAGTGCACACCTGCTCCCCCCCAGTGCACACCTGCTCCCCCAATGCACACCTCCCCCCAGTGCACACCTGCTCCCCCAGTGCACACCTCCCCCCCAGTGCACACCTGCTCCCCCAGTGCACACCTCCCCCCAATGCACACCTGCTCCCCCAGTGCACACCTCCCCCCACAGAGCACACCTCCCCCCCAGTGCACACCTGTTCCCCCCCCAGTGCACACCTCCCCCCCAGTGCACACCTGCCCCCCCAGTGCACACCTGCTCCCCCAGTGCACACCTCCCCCCAGTGCACACCTGCTCCCCCAGTGCACACCTCCCCCCCAGTGCACACCTGCTCCCCCAGTGCACACCTGCTCCCCCACAGTGCACACCTCCCCCCAGTGCACACCTCCCCCACAGTGCACACCTGCTCCCCACAGTGCACACCTGCTCCCCCAGTGCACACCTGCCCCCCACAATGCACACCTCCCCCAGTGCACACCTGCTCCCTGTGGGCTTGGAGCTATTGTCACCACAGGATGCAGAAGTGGCAGAGGTCAGAGTGTGGACACACTGGGCCTGGGTCTCCCCGGGTCCTGGCCTCGGCACTCTCCCTCCACGGTGGCCTCAGGCTGAGGGCCACTGCCTCCCCTCGTGTCTCTGAGCCCCCAGGGTGGCTCCCTCCCCACTCACTCCAGCCCTGCCTGTGCCGGGCCCCGGGTCCAGCACAAAGCAAGGCAGGCTAGCCCCTTCCCCGGGGAGCTCCTGCCCCCATCGGTGTGCCAGGTTCAGCGCAGCCCTGGGGCTGGGCACAGGGCCCTGGCCTCTGGCACTCACCAACTGCCGTGTTTGCCGCTGTCCCGCTTTCTCTTGACCACAGGCTCCCCTTCCCGGACCCTTCTCCCCGCCAGGCACATGTGGACCATCAAAACCAGAGACCAGCCAGGCCCGGGCCTGCTAGTCCAAACCAGGGGCACACAGGTGTTCTTGTCCCACACAGGGGTATTGGATTTGGGACCGGCAGCGTGCAGTGTGGTGTGGGCCAGCACCCAGAAGGCAGCCGGCAGGGTGGGGGTAGTGGAGTCAAGGCTGTGTCACGCCAGGCTCCCCATGTCACGCCAGGCTCCCCTGTGACACACCAGGCTCCCCTGTGTCAGGCCAGGCTCCCCATGACACACTAGGTTCCCCGTGTCACGCCAGGCTCCCCTGTGTCATGCCAGGCTCCCCGTGACACACCAGATTCCCTGTGTCATGCCAGGCTCCCCTGTGACACGCCAGGCTCCCCATGACACGCCAGGCTCCCCATGACACGCCAGATTCCCCGTGTCATGCCAGGCTCCCCTGTGTCATGCCAGGCTCCCCATGACACACCAGGTTCCCCGTGTCACGCCGGGCTCCCCTGTGACACGCCAGGCTCCCCATGACACGCCAGATTCCCTGTGTCATGCCAGGCTCCCCTGTGTCATGCCAGGCTCCCCGTGACACACCAGATTCCCCGTGTCATGCCAGGCTTCCTGTAGTAGGTCAGGCTCAGTGGGCTGGGGCTCTGCACGTTGCCTGGCGGGTCACCAGGTGGCCTTGTAGCCACTGGGCACAGCGTGCACCCCTGGGCAGGAAGGCCATGACACGGCCAGCCCACCAGCGCTGTGCCCTGGGGTGGGGGCATCGTAGTCTGGAGGGGCTGCACCCACTCTGCTGGCAGTGGTCCTGTGGCTGCCTGAGCCAGCAGGGTCTCCCATGGTCACTTGAGAGACAGGAAAGGGGGTGTCTGCAGCCTCTCTGGCTCCCAGCCTCCCAGGAAGCACTCCGGGTGGGCTCTGGGCTGAGGCCGTGTGGGGGTCATGGGCCAGTGATTTCCGGGAGGAGTGACCCCTCCCCACCCCGTCAGGCTCTGATGGTGAGGAGAGCCCCTCCCACTGGGCCCCCTTCCTGTCCCTGTGGCCACCATGTGTCCGTCTCGTCTCAGGCCAGAGCTGTGATGGGCCGTGCGTCAGATCGAGGCTGTCACTGTCCGCGTCCTGGCCTCTGGTGCCCCCTGTGTGACCCACACCGAGGTGCAGCTGAGTTCCCGCAGGCAGGGGCCCTCGGGGCCAGGCCTCTGTGGCTCCTGCAGGTGCTGGCCACCTCCGGCCTGTGTGCCCGTCAGGCTGGGCATGTGGGCCAGCCTCTGGGTGCCTGTGCCGGGGTGGGAGAGGGGGTTCCTCTGGGCAGTGGGAGGCCTTTAGGGCCTGGGGCCTCCCCATGTGCTGTCTTCGAGGGGCCCTGCTGGGCGTGGTGGCTGGGGAAGGCCCTCGCTCAGACCTGCCTTTGGGGCTTCCTCGCCCAGCTGTGGTGCACCCTCTGCTGGCTGCCCCCGTGCAGTGCTCGCCCTACCCGTGCTGGGTGGCGGGACGGTGCTGTCTGCTCCGCGTGCACCTGGGCTTGCTTGTGGGATAGAAACCTTGCCAGGCTTGTGGCTTACGTGGGCACCCTGCCTGGCCCTGCTCGCCGCCCTCTGGCTCTCTCAGACCCAGCGCTAACCACATCTGGCCTGCAGACGGGCTGCTTCACGCGTCGGGCTGACTGCTCTCCATCCCTGTCTGTTGCCCATGCTCAGGCCCCACGCAGGACAGGGCCCTCAGGTTCTGGGGAGGACAGGAGGGAGCAGGGGACCAGGAGGCGGCCGCTGGGCCCTGGTGTGGGGCTGACTGCTCCCGTCGGGGCTTGTGAACTCAGTTCCTGGGGTGGTCACACACCTGTCCGTCTCCCTCTTCCTCGTGGCCTCTCCTGCTGCCTGTGCCGCAGGGCCCAGCTAGGGGGCCTTGGCCGGCGGCAGCCCCAACCCTGCATCGCCTCCCGCCTTCTCTGCAGTACTACGCGGAGTGCCACGGAGTCATCTATGTCATCGACTCCACCGACGAGGGGAGGCTGCTGGAGTCCAAGCAGGCGTTCGGTGAGTGTGGCCAGGTCTCTCCCAGGCAGGGGGCCACCAGGTCCAGTATGGACACCCGTGTGTCCAGATGCTGCCTTGCCAGGGGCCCCTGAACACATGGCCCGGAAGCACTCCGGGGGGTGGGGGACACGTGGCGGCCTGGCCACGTCACAGTGTGGTCAGGGCTGGGCTGCTGGATGCGGGATGCCAGGTGCTGCCTCTTGCCCTCCACAGAGAAAGTGGTCACCAGTGAGGCGCTGGACGGTGTCCCTGTCCTGGTGCTGGCTAACAAGCAGGATGTGGAGGTGAGCCCCCCCCCCCCCCCCCCCCGCCCCCAGAGAGCTGCTCCAGGGCCTCACTTCCGGGCTCAGACCCTCCGGGAATCACCGGACCTGAGCTGTGCCGGGCGTCTTCTCGCCACTGGAGGGAGCCCAGAGCCCAGTTCTGCTGGGTCCCCGGCGGGGAGCTGGTCCCTGAGGCCGGCATCTCTGCCAGCCCCACCCCCAGAGCCGGGATCCTGGTGACATGGGCCCTGCCGTCCAGGAAGTGGGGTGAGGTCCTGGGGCAGCCCTGCTCCCACTCCCAGGCCCTGGCCCTGTCTCACCGCCTGTGGCTCTGCCCCTGGTCCTGAAGCCGCTAACAAGGAGGGGCATCAGGACTGGGCAGAGCACATGGCTGTGAGCGAGAGCCCGCCCCAGCCCGGAGCTCGCCAGGAGCCCTGTGCGGGTGCTGAGGTCCTCCCTGGGCACGGCCGGCTGCAGGCAGGCTCTCGCCGTCCACGGTGGACACACAGCCCAGGCTGTGTGCTGGGGACAGGGTGGACGTGGCCTGTGGTGGGGCTGCCCTCATGGCCTCCCCTCCCCCAGCCTTGCCTCTCCATCCCTGACATCAAGACGGCCTTCAGTGACTGCACCTGCAAGATTGGCAGGCGCGACTGTCTGACCCAGGCCTGCTCGGCCCTCACGGGGTAAGTGGGCCCTCACCCGGCTGGCCACCGCGGGTCCCATGTCCCACCTCACACCCCCTGCTGGCCACTGCCGGTTCCACGTCCCACCTCATGCCCTCTGCTGGCCACTGTGGGTCCCACCTCACACCACCTGCTGGCCACTGCGAGCCCCACCTCATACCCCCACCTCATACCTCCTGCCCTCCCCCTCCTGGCCACCGCGGGTCCCACCTCACGCCCCCTGCTGGCCACTGCGGGTCCCACTTCACACCCCCTGCCCTCGCCCTGCTGGCCACCACGAGTCCCACCTCACACCCTGTGTCTGCAGCAAAGGCGTGCGTGAAGGCATCGAGTGGATGGTGAAGTGCGTTGTGCGGAACGTCCATCGGCCACCGCGGCAGAGGGACATCACATAGGCTCGGCCACCCGCGTCCCGGACACTCTGGCCCCTGGGCCGCCCGCTGGGGGGGGCTTGCTGCGCCCTCCCTCTGTGTGCTGTTTTCTCTAAGACAAATGTTGCTGGACACCCAGGCTTCGCTGTGGGGAGGGGCTGCTGCACCGAGGGCGCCCTGGGCAGGGGTCTGGATGGAAATGGGGCAGGAGGCAGTAAGTGCGGCCACGTCCTCTGCCCAGGGTCCTGCAGGTGGACTGGGGTCTGGGCCGGCCTGCTGGGATGAAAGGCCTGCTGGAGCCCTGGGCTCTGACACAGCCTCGGGATGGGCGGGGCCAGGAGACCTTGCTGGCTCCATCACCTCATCTGAGCCCGGGGCAGTGCGAAGTGGTCAGTATCCTTGCCCCTCTCCCCTCCCTTGGCCAGGCCTGGGTGGGGCAGCGTGGACACAGGTGTTGGGCCAGGGCTGGTGGCAGGGGGTGCACAGGCCCTGCAAGTGAGGCTGGCCCTCCCCATAGGACCCCTGGAGCTGGGAGTGCCCAGTGCAGGCCAGGTGGCGTGTGGAATAAAGATGCCTGACTGGCTCCTGGCTCCTGCAGGCAGCCAAGGGGTGGGAGCTGGTGTGGGCGGCTGCTAGTCCTGGGGTCGCTGCAGGGGACCTGTCCCCCCATGAGTCAAGCCAGGGGTGGCTGTGCCCAGCTGTGGAGCTGAGGCCGTAACCACTGAGAGCAGGATTGGGGGCTGCACCTGCCACCGGCCGGCCATTCCCAGCAACCCTGCACAGAGCCCGTCAGCTACTGTCACAAAGTGTCGCAGAGCAGAGTGACAGGGAACAAACACCGCAAGTCTGCTTTGGTGCGGCAGGTGTGCGTGTGAATAAACGAGGCGTGGTACGCCAGTCTCAGCCCACGGGGAAGCAGGCAGCGCGGCCAGCGAAGCGCCCACAGCAGCGGCCACCACTGTCCCGTCTCCCCCCTCCAGGGGCTGCTGATGCAGCGGCTCCTGCAGAACCACGTGGTCTGCACCAGGGCACCGAGCCCACCCAGGCCTGCTGTGGGCGCTGCTGTCTCCTGGAGGTGGCCTGGAAAGCCACAAAGCCCACGATGGCATGCTCACACTCCTCGGTCCCTGTAGCAGGGTCAGCTGGCCGCACCAGGCACTGGACAGGCCCTCCATGTGCCCACTTAGAGGACCCCGCACACACAGGCAGATGAGCCCAGTGGGCAGCTGCAGGGCCTTGGGCTAAGGGAGGCTGGGGCTCAGGTACTGCAAGGGGGACCCACAGGGGGTCTGCCAGTTGGCGCTCCCTAATGTGCCTGGGAAGGCCACGGAAAATGTTTAAGTGCTTGGGTTTCTGCCACCATGTGGGGGACCAGGGCGGACTTCCTGACTCTTGTGGTCATTTGGGAATTGAACCAGCAGAACAAAGAGCTCTCTATCACTCTGCCTTTGACTTCTTTAAAAAAGATTTATTGGAGGATGACACTGGCGCAGTGGGTTGAAGCCCCAGCCTGCAGCACCAGCATCCCACATGGGCACCAATGAGTGCCAGCTGCTCCTCTTTGACTCACTGCTGTGGCCTGGGAAAGCAATGGAAGATGGGCCAAGTGCTTGGGCCCCTGCACCTGTGTGGGAAACCTGGGTGGAGCTCCTGGCTTCAGATGAGCTCAGCTCTGGCCATTGCAGTCATTCGGGGAGTGAACCAGCAGAATGGAAGACCTCTCTCTGGCTCTACCCCTCTTTGTAACAAACATTTGAAAGAGTTAGAGAAAGGGCAGAACAGGTCTTCATCTGCCAGGTCACACCCAGGATGGCTGCAATGGCCAGGGCTGGGCCAGGCCAGAGCCAGGAGCTCCACCCAGGTCTCCCTGTCGGGTGCAGGGGCCCAAGCACTTAGGTCATCCACATGGGACGCCCTCCCTGTGGCTGGTGGCTTTACCTGCTATGCCATAACACTGGTGGAGGGTGGAGTGTGTGCTGAAGCCACCCCGGGGCATCCAGGACCCAATGTTCAGTTCCTAGGGAGACTCAAGGGCACCCATAAAAATCTACAGGCCCCAGGCAGCAGCCAGCTGCAGGGCCTCCCCTCCATGCCCACCATCCCCACGGGGTCACCTGGCTCCCTGGGGCCCAGTGGAAATGCAGTGCAGCTGATGCACAGGTGTCCGGGGGTGGGGTGGAGCTGGCTGTCACCGCGTGCTCCTGCTGGGTATGCCCAGCAAGGGTGGGGAAGCTGGTCGGGAGCCCTGGGGTTGATGCCCGTCCCTGCAGCGTGACCTCTCCGGGCCTGGCACCACCTAGGGCGCTCACTGTCGTGCCAGGAGGGCACTGCGCATGCTCCACACAGAACCCTGGGTGCGCCAAGCCGGGGCAATAGTGACAGGCGTGGCTGTGGGTGGCACAGCCCGGCTGTGCCGCAGCCTTGCAGTCCCTGCAGTCATGGGCAGTAGCGGAAGTTCCAGATTGCGTGGAGTGGCGCAGCGGGCAGGTGCCGCACGTCGCGGGGTTGTCCCACTGCAGGAGCCGGGCACACTGCAACCACTCCCGGGTCTCCAGGTCCCGCGAGCGCCCGGCCTCCCCGCGCCTCCATGGTCCCAGCTGAGCTCGGACACCTCCAGCTGTGCTGCATCTCCTTACGTGCGCCAGGACGCAGGGGTGGGGGGGGAGGAGGCAGGGCGGCCTCGCCAGCCCCTGTGGGAACCCCACTTCCGCCCAGGTGGAGGAGACCCTAGACACTCCCCACATCCCCCAGTGCACTTCATGGCTGGGCCCTGCAGAGGGCGCTCGGCGCAGCACGTTGGAAAGGGGACTCTTCGCTGGCACCCCAGGCCACACAGACAGGGCTGCACCCTGCCCGCAGCTTTATTGGAGAGCAGGCTCCCTCCCCCACCCCCTCTCCAGCAGGGGGAAAGGTGAAGCCCACCCCAGCCCCAAGGTGACTTCCCAGGCAGTCCCAGATCCCGCGGGGGCACCCGGCTGGGCTCCTAGTCAGGCGGGCTCTCAACCCTGACCAGGGTCAAAGGCCAGCGTGGTGCCATAGAAGCTGACTCCAGCGTGCACGGGCCAGCAGCGCCCAGCGGTCCCCACGGCGCTCAGTGCGGCTCCGGCCAGAACACTGGCATGATGCTCTGTCTCCTGGCGGCAGCTCCACAGGCCGGGCAGGTCCTAGCGGCCTGAGGGGACACGTCCACTGGTCACGCCCCACCCCCCACCTGGGCTTCCGTCCAGCAGGGGCCAGGGGCTCGCACCCACCTGGAGGTGCCGTCGCCAGCAGTCCTGGCAGCGGTGGAAGTCACAGCGGGGGCACTGGAAGGGCACCGCGTCCTGCGCCCCACAGCCCTGGCACACGCCGCCTGCCGCAGGGCCAGCGTGAGCTCCGGGCCTGCCCCACCCCGCAGTGCCTGTGGGCCCTCCCGCCAGGCTCCCCCACTCACACTGCGCGTGCCTGGGGAGGGGCTGTGTGGGCCGGCTGGGCCCTGCCCCGGCGTCCCCCGCTGGCCTCCGTGAGAGAAAGGATGAGATCTTGCTCTGACCCTTCTCCGGCCTCTCCGGCTTCTCGGGGCCTACAGGCGGCAGCAGCTGAGCCCCTGGTGCCCCTCTGCGCCCGTCCCCAGCTCTGCGGGGCAGGGTCGGGGGCGCCCAGGCAGGCCTCCTCACCTGGCCTGGGGGTCCCGCGGGCAGGCAGCCCCGTCAGGTCCGTGCACGCTTGTAGCAGCCGCTGCTTATGGTGAGGCCGCACGAAGATGCTGAACCCTGCAGGCAGCTGTGCTCAGCCCCAGCCAGCTCCACCGGGCGGTCAGCCCAGCCCAGCACAGCCCCGGCCACCAACCCTGGGGCTACTTGCTTTGCAGCAAGGAGAAGTCCTCAGGCCTGGCAGTGGTCAGCGCGGCCAGCACGGCCAGCACCTTGTCAAAGTCGTCGTCCTGCTTGTAGACCTTCAGAGCGGTCAGCAGCTGGCTGTAGCCTGCCGAGCCCAGAGCCCGGCGGGCGTCCGCCAGGTAGGCGCGTGCCACAGGCTGTCCCCGCGCCTCTGCTCCGGACCCCACTTGTGGACAGCTGCTGGGGCCTCCTGGTGAGGGACAGCATGGCTGGGAAGCAGCTCTGGGCCTCTGCCCCTCCCTCCTGGGACCCCCGCTCGGGACCCCTGGGGGTGTGGAACCCAGGAGGCCCCCAGTGGAGTCCCTGACGCAGACTTCAGCTCCCCCTGGGCACCAGTTCCAAATCCCTGAGGCCAGGATGGGAGGCGGGGCCCCCGAGGACGACCACGCACCTGCCGTGGCTGGCCCGCTGGCCAGGTGGGGCCCTCCCTGGTTCAGGTGCTGTCCCGGGTCGAGCTGCCTCACTGCACCCGCAGACAGGGTCAGCCTGCAGTCAGGCCCCTTCCTCTCTGAAGAAATGTGAACCCCAAGGAGCCACTCAGCACCTCCCCGACCCACGCCACAGGCACGCAGGGACACAGCGGGGGCGCAGAGAGCCCACTGCAGCCCTGCACGGGATACCCCCATGGGCAGCAGGCGCTCCCTGGGTCAACCACCGCAAGAGACAGAGAACGGGGCAGTGCACTGGCCGTCCACACGCAGGGCCCTGCTGGGGGCTGGCCCAGGGCTGTCCTCCCCAGGTGACACCTTCCGGTCCCCACACAGGCGCAAGGATGCCAGGTGCCACCTGTCCAGCCCTGAGGCTGAGGGTCTAGTCGGGTCCCACTCACCAACAGGGTCTAGGGCTCCCTGTGCCTGCTGCCCATCGGGGAGGGAGTGCTCTGGCCGGCAGCCGCAGCCGTGGCCTGTCAGCTGGACGCAGAACTCCTCGAACTGCTGCTTGTGGTGGGGACGCACGAACTGGTAGAAGCCTGTGGGAGAGGGCGGGCCCGTGGGCTCTCGCACCGTGGCCGCTGGCCCCCAGCGGTGGTCTCCCCCAGGGTGAGTGGCCCGCGCAGCTAGGGCACCTTGGAGCAGGCTGTGCGTGGCGGGGTCCTGGGTGAAGAGCCGGCCAAGGCAGGCCGTGAGCGCGGCCAGGTCGTCGGAGCCCTTGTACTGCTGCAGGGCCCGGGTGAAGGCGGCGAAGCCGGCCTGGCTCAGCGCCTGCCTCACCGCCCCCATGAACAGTTTCGCTCGGTGCACCTGGCTGCCCGCCGCAGGCTCCTCCTGCTGGACACAGCCCAGGCCCCGTCAGGCCAGCCCACTCTCCCGGGCGAGGGGCAGGGCTACCACAGGGGGCCCAGGCCCGGGGCTCAGAGCCACAGGAGGGCAGTCAGGAGCCCATGCAGTGGACGCACACCTGCTTCTCCCCAAGCTGGGGCCCTGCAGGGCTGCCTCTGGGACCCCAAGCTCCCCAGCCTCGGGCACTTGCTGCCCCATGTGACAGCTCCGAGGGGGCCACTGCTCCCACCCCAGGCCCACCACGAATGGCGCAAGCCCGGCAGCCCAGCCCTCCCTGGGCGCTGCCCAGGCCTTCCCCGAAACCAAGGATGTGGACAAAGGGCTCCAGAACAGCACGGGGCCCCAGGACCTGAGCTGTGGCTCCCCTGCCTTCACCGGAGGCTGGGCACTGTCCCCACAGGGGTGGCCAGCATCTGCATTCCAGAAAAAGCCAGGGCAAGCCCAGGACTGGCCGCCCGCTGGGCAGGGGCAGGGGGCGTGGCTGCCGGTGGGCCCAGCTCAGCACCTCCCGGCCCACGGCACTGCTGACTGTACCGGGGCTCGGACCAGCCGGATCCTCTTCCTCCCTCCTCTCTGCTGCTCTGCCAGCCTCTTCTCACACCGCAGGGCTAGGCTGCAGCCGCCAGGGGCCTAAGGGAGACAGGCTGGGTCCCAACCACGCCCAGGTGTGTGCCTGGGGCCCCAGGGAGCCAGCTGACCGCCACCACCCAGACCCTTCTGAGCACAGCCTCGGGCAGTGAGCAGCCTCATGGGGGACAGGAAGGGGACAGAGACCCCAGTGTCAGCGCCGAGGGGATGGAGGGAGGGGCTCAGGTCAGGCCCAGGAGGTTTGGGGTTTCTGGGCCAAGGTCCCAGGGCAGAAGAAACAAGGCCCCAGCACAACCCAGGCATGGAGAGAGGCTGGCCCTGGGTACAGGCCACACAGGAGGCCCTGGGCCTCGAGGGGGCTGTGCTGGGCTGACCGCCTGAAAACGCTGTCTGCTCCAACCTCAGGGCCCTGGGGGCCAGAGCCTCAGAGGCACACGGCACGCTGCCCCCTGCCTACCGCTGCCAGGGCGATGCACGGCACCAAGTGGGGCAGGGCCCGGGCCAGCCCCAGCAGCTGTGTCCATCCCCCAGCCCTAGCCCGCACCTGTCCCTTCGTGGGGGAGGCCTCGTCCACAGGCCCCTCAGCCTGCTGCTCGCTGTGCTCCAGGGCGGCCAGCAGCCCTGCGGGCGTCCGGGGCGCAGAGACGGGTTCCGGCTCGTACTCCACACACAGGCTGCGGTCGCAGTCCCCAGCTGCGGGAGGCCCTGCAGGAGCGCAGAGTGGGGTGGGGTGGGGTGGGACATGGCGACCACACCAGCTAAGCTGTCCAGCGCCCGGCCGGCCCCACTCACCCACAGGCCTCCGCTGCAGGCTGGGGACGTGCACGTCCAGGCTCTTGGCTTTCCTGATGGACAGGACGGGGGCTGGTGCCAGGGCCGCCGTGCCAGCGCCTCCTTCCTCACCCACACTGGGGGCCACAGCCTTGGGGGTGGGCGACGGCATCTGCAGAACCACAGGAAGGTGGGGCTCCCGCCTGCTCCCTGGCTCCTTGGGGCAGGGCTCCCCCCCGGGGGGGGAGTGGCTGGCTAGACACCAGGAGCTCACACTTTTCTGAGCGACACGGAAGAACTGGGCCACATCTCGGATGACGTGGCCAAAGCTGTCGTACACCTTGACACAGGGACGCACCCAGGAGGGCAGCTGGGCTCTGGCATCGGCGTAGGCAAACCTGAGGGTGGGTGTGGCCGTCAGTGCCGCGACGGCTGCTTGAGAGCCCCCCTCCCCCTCCCAGGCTCGGGTCCCCACGTGGAGCCCCTGCACGTGGGGGCCACACCTGTGGTCACACAGGAAGACGGCGCCATAGTCGTGGCGGTGCCGGATCACCCGGCCAATGGCCTGGTTCACAGCCCTGGACGCCTGGAGTCGGTACCACTCTTGCCCAGAGAGAAACTGCAGGGGGCAAAGGGGCTGTCACTGCAGCTGCCACAAAACAGCCCCGCCCACCTCAGCTGCCCCCAGCCCCCACCTCAGCTGCCCCCAGCCCCGCCCACCTCACCTGGCCCCCCACCCCGCCCACCTCACCTGGCCCCCCCAGCCCCGCCCACCTCACCTGCTCCCCCCAGCCCCGCCCACCTCACCTGGCCCCCCAGCCCCGCCCACCTCACCTGCTCCCCCCACTCCGCCCACCTCACCTGGCCCCCAGCCCCGCCCACCTCACCTGCTCCCCCACCCCGCCCACCTCACCTGGCCCCCCACTCCGCCCACCTCACCTGGCCCCCCACCCCGCCCACCTCACCTGGCCCCCCACTCCGCCCACCTCACCTGGCCCCCCACCCCGCCCACCTCACCTGGCCCCCCCAGCCCCGCCCACCTCACCTGCTCCCCCCACTCCGCCCACCTCACCTGGCCCCCAGCCCCGCCCACCTCACCTGTCCCCCAGGCCCGCCCTGGGCCTTCATCTCGTCCAGGAACTGCATCTTGAGGACAACACGGGGGTCCATGCGTGGGGGGTACGGGAGCCCCGTGACGATCACACCCCGGCCGTTTGTGTCCGAGAAGTCCAGCCCTTCGCTGGCCTAGGGGACAGGGCCGCGAGTTGCCTGGGGCTGCTGGCTTCCCCAAGGGTCCGCTCACACTCGGCAGGCACAGGCAGGGGTGGGCAGGAGCTGCAGCTGTGGGACGGCCCCGCTCCCAGGACCCAGGACAGCGCCCACCTGCTTGGAGCCTCCCCAGCCTGGGCCCTGTGTGGCAGGACTGCCCAGTGCACGCTCCGCCCCCGCCCAGCCATCCAGCCAGGAGGGGAGGTGGGAGAGACCTCACCTTGCCCCGGCACACGGCCAGGAAGGCGGCCCCGCCGGGCCCACCGGAGGCCACTTGCTTGTAGTAGGCGTTGATCACCTGGGCGGAAGGTGGCTCAGCCACGGTCTGGAGCCGCCCCGCCCACTGCAGCCAGAGCCCTGGCCTCCTTCCCGGGACAAAGTGACCGTTCCCGCCAGAGGCTGTGGGGCTCCCAGAGCCACGGTGGACACGAGGGTCAGCTGCTTTCCGCAAAGTCCACCCCAGGGCGAGCAGACACTCAGGGGAGCACGGACCTCTGTGAAGCTGTCTTTGCTCCTGGGCTCCACGAACAGGGGCTTCAGCGCCTCCATCTTCCTGGCCAGGTCTCGGGCCTGCGCGGAAAGGTAAGGACGTGGCCGCTGCAGCCACGCTGGGGGCTGGCCTCCCACCCAGGACACACGGGCCGGGGACGCACCCGCCAGAACTCCAGGCTCTTCTCCATGACGGGGTAGGAAGGGAAGAAGACCAGGAGCCCGTGCGGCACCACGCGGGCGATGTTGTCTGTAAGCGAGGGGGTCACGCGGGGCCGGGCGCCCAGGAGGCTCCGGGGAGTGGGGGCAGGGGCAGCACTACTCACTCAGAGCCTTCCCCAGGGAGGACAGGTACTGCTCGGAAAACCTGCGGAGCCAGGGCAGTGACAGCCTCAGGCCTGGCCCAGCACCGGCGCCACCTCACCCCGGAGGGCCAGCCCTTACCGTCTGTCAAATGCAGAGCTCAGCTGGGCTTCGTCAGGGCCCCTGGGGACAACCCCCACCCAGATCTGGTGGCTGTCGATGACGTGCGGGTTTTCCAGGCAGACTGGGAAGGGGCTGCGTGTGGCCAGAAGCAGATGGTGGGCGACGACACGAGGCCCCCGCGGCCGCCCCCGCCCCAGGGTCCCCTTGGCCAGGCGCCCGTACACCTGCATCTCCAGGGCGAGGGCCGAGAGCGGGGCCAGCGTGCCGCTGGTGAGGATGAGCGTGCGCACGCCCTGCTGCAGCAGCTCCCGCATGCTGTGGCCGGGGCTGAAGCACCAGTAGCTCAGCACCTTCCCTGGGGGCGCAGGGGGAGGGGCGGGGGTGAGCCGCACAGGAGCGCCCACCCCCACAGCGGGGGCTGCCCCCCCACGGTGGCCTGGGGTGCGAGCCCACCCTGCCACGTGCCTGACCTCTGACCCCTGAGCTCCAGGCACAGCCTGCAGAGGCACAGCCAAGTTCCCAGAGTGCCCCTGCGCAGGGAGGGGCACAGAGCCGCTGCCTCACGTGGCAACAGCAGGGCAGTAAGGCCGGGGCCGGGGCCGTGGGGAGGCCGGTCACTCCAGCAACTCCGGAAGCATGAGCAGAACCTGAACTGATACTCCGGCCAGGACCAGGGTCAACAGGACAGGGACACCCGGGGGAGGCCGCACGCCGGCTCTGCTTCAGGGCCGCCCTGCCCTCTCCCAGCCTCAGGGCACCGCGCGGTGGGAAAGGCAGCCACAGGAGCCAAGAGGCAGAGCTCAGCTCCCTGGCGGGAGGTGGGGGACAGGCGGGCACACGGGCAGGGCTGGGGCCCTGGGGGCACAGCTGGTGCAGGAGCCAGGCTTGCTTGAGTCAGCAGCCCCTGCGCTCCAGGGGTGACAGCCAGGGGTGGGGTGCTGGCTACAAGCCCACAGCTGCGGTGGCCAGCACTCACGAGCCCTGCCCCAGCAGCACTGACCTGGGCCAGAGAAGCAGGGACCCGGGGCTGAGCTCACAGGGGGTCTGCAGAGCCTGGCCAGGGGACAGGTGGACCAGGGGTCTAGAGCTGTGCCTCCCATCTGCCTGCTGACACGGCTGGGTGTGAGTGAGAGGCCCAGGCCTTGTAGGGGCCCCGACTCCACTCCTGCCCACAGGTGACTGGGGGTCACCGGCCTGCTTGGGCCCCCCAGGAGCTGGGCAGCCTGAAGTGAGGCAGGAGGGGTCACCGCCCTGGCCCTGTACCTTGCTTTCTGGACGCAGTGCTGGTCCAGGAGTCTGCCCGCTGAGCTGCCCTCTGGTGACTGGTGTCAGGGTGGATGTGCACCTGGGGACAGAGTGCGCACAGGGCCCTGAGACCCCACCACGTCCCAGGAAGCCCCGCCCACATTCTGGAGGCAGCCCCTACCTTATAGTACCGTGAGGCCGCCAATGCCACCATGGACCCAGGGCCGCCCTCAGGGGTGTCCACGCTGAACACAATCTGAAAGGCAGTGCAGTCAGGACCTGGGCGAGGGCACGGCACCCTCTGTGGCACGGCAGAAAAGCGGGGCCTCAGCCCCACCCCCGGAGGAAGGAGACGGCCGCCTGCCACTGAACCCCACGCGCTGCCATCGGGGGCCCAGGCCCCGCCTCCTCCCCGAACCAGCCCTCTGCGTACCCCGGTAGGCCCAGGAAATGCAGGGCCTGCCCTCAGGCTGACTGCCCCTGGGGACCCCAAATTAGTCTGGAGCCCAGCACGCCCCAGAGGCACGGCAGGATCCTACACAAAGTACACGCACCGACTCTCCAACCGTCCTGGTGGAATCTGCCCTGGCCAGGGCCAAACCTCACCACGACAGGGAACCACAAACACCAGCACAGGCCCCGCACTCCTCCCACACTGGGCTCTGACAACAGCCCAGAGCTGGCCTGGGCAGGAGGCCAGAGCTTCCCACAGGGAAACGCGTTCCTAGTCACACGTGGACGAGGGCCCGGGAAGCAGAGGACGCCCCAGCAGGGCGTGAGCCCCAGGATGGGCACGGCGGCTCTCACAGAGAAACACCAGAGCACCCTGCTGCGGACAGCGGGAAGCCGGCCCTTCCCCCACCACAGAACACACCGCTCACACCACTGGGCCACCCCAGCACACGGGCCTGAGGCCCCCGCAGATGCTGCTGCTGCACGCCTCCTGCTGGGCCAGGCTGGGCCTGCTGGGGGCCATAGCAACCCCCACCCCTCACAGGGCCTCCAGCCAGGGACGCACACACCCCGGGCCGCAGGGGACTGAGTCATTGCCAAGGGCGCTTATGGCGGAAGCCAACGGGAATTCCCGCCCGTGGGTGAGCAGCACAGGAGGAAACCACTCGGCCTGCAGACTGCTCCGGGCAGTGCAGGGGCTGCGCCAGGAGCCACCAGGCGGCCGGCCTGGCTGTGCGTAGGTGGAGTCGGGCTCAGCCACGGCCCGCCTACTCAACCACAGGCCTCCCTGCTCCAAGGTGGACACGTTGGCCACACACACCCACAGTCCAGAGCTGCAGACAGCGACGCCCCAGTCCTGGGGGAGAATGTTGGAACACTCCTCACACATCAGGCTGACAGCACTCTCCAGCCCTGATCACACCTCGCGGACGAGGGGACTGGCTGTGACGTCACTTTCCCTGGGCCTGGAGCCCAGACCCTGGCCTGTCCCCATTCAGAGCCACATATGTGAGGGAGAAGGCGGCTCCCCCAGGGGCCTCCGGCGTGGACACAGCACAGCTGTGAACCCTGAACACAGGTGAGCCTCGGCCCCTGCCCGTGGCCAGGCACCTCCCGCAGAGTGGCCCAGGGATGCAGTGTGGGCAGCAGCACCCTACATGCAGCCTCGCACAGCCCCAGCTGCCACAGGGCTCCCACACCTCAGCTTCCCAAAGGACCAACGGCACCCCGCAGGGCTCCCAAAGACCGAAGAGGAGCAGCCGGTTAAGCCGCTGTCTGTCGGAGCACGGCTGCTCTGCTCCCTGCTGACGGCCTGGGAAAGCAGCAGAAGGAAGACGGCCCAAGTGCCTGGGCCCTGCTCCCATGGGAGACCCGCACGGAGCTCCTGGGTCCTGGCTCCGGCCTGGGCCCTGCTCCCCTGGGAGACCCGCACGGAGCTCCTGGGTCCTGGCTCCGGCCTGGGCCCTGCTCCCCTGGGAGACCCGCACGGAGCTCCTGGCTCCTGGCTCCGGCCTGGCCCAGTCCTGGCCATTGTCATCATCTGGGGAAGTGACCAGCAGACAGAACCTCTCTCTGAAACTGCCTTTCAAATAAATCTTTAAAAAAAAAAAGAAACACTCAGTGGGCTTGGCAGACATCAAGGCCATGCCCAGAGTGTCTGGGCTGCCCCTCCTCTCCCTGGGCGAGCTGCCATTTGACCAGGGCTGGCCCTGGTGGTCCCCAGGCTGACAGCTGGATGATACACAGGTAAGAGGAGGCATGGGCTGGACAGCACTCGTGGGTCAGGGGTGCATGGGAGGAATCCCATGGTCCCTCGGTGCCAGGCTCAGACATGGCAGCCACAGGCCACGCCTTCCCCTTTGGAAATCACTCAGGGGTAACTCCCCAGACCAGGGGGTCCGGCCCCCAACCCAAGGGCCGCAGGAGGCAGGGGCAGCTCCCAGCCCTCATTCCCTGTGGGGGTGACAGCCACACCCTTCCCTGTCACCTCCTCTGGAGGGAGGTGAGAAAATAGCTTGGCCTGCCGGAGGCAGATGGAGTGGGGGCCTCTGTCTGGATCGGGGCAGCGACAGGAGGCAGGGCCGCCCCAACGGCCACTGGTGACAAGACGCCCCCCGCCCCCCGCAGGCCCTACCTGGATGATGTCCGCCAGCTTCTGCAATCCGGCCGTGTTGGTGAACACTCCAGCACCTGGGGGCACCAGCCCAACACTGTGCCACAGGCAGGGAGTCCGTGGAACCCTCGGGCCAGGGGCCAGGCCAGAGGGGCGTTTTCCCCAAGGCGTTCGGTGGGGCTTCCCTGGCAGCCAGGAGACCCTGCTGCACAGCACCCGCCCCCCCCCCCAGCAGCCTGTGGGGGCGCTGCCCTGGGCGGCTCTCAGCTTTGAGCAGGATCAGGCGTGGATGGTGTGACACGCCGAGGGGCACTCCCTTTGCTCTGCCACGCTGGGGGCGCTGCAGCTGGCCCAGGTGGCCACACGCAGGAGCGGAGACTCCAGGCGCCAAATGCGGCTCAGCCCCTCCCCCAGGCATGGGACTCACGGCCGGCCAGGTGCTGGGTGATCTGGTCCAGCGAGTGCAGGACGCAGTCCTTGGTCTGCGATGTGATGTGGGCTTCCGCAAGGAGCTCGAAGACATAGCTGCGGAGGAGACGGGAAGCTGGGGCCAGCGGGGCCAGGCAGCGCCAGGATCACAGGGGCGAACTCTTCACTAGGTTTCCTCCTCTCAGAGGCAAATGCTGGACCTCCCAGGGAGGCCAGAACTGGAGGGGAGGGCCTCACCGTCCTGAGCCCAAGGAAAGGACCAAGCCCTGGGGCCAGGGTCAGGATGCGGTCCTCAGTGATGGCTGTGGGCAGGGTCCCCAAGAGCTTCAGAAAGAGGTGGGGAGGGGGCACATGAGGCCACAGTGGCCTTGACTGGCAAGCTGAGTTCAGCTGCACCTGCAGGAGACAGGGAGCCCTGGCCCGAGCTCGGGGCCCAAGAACACGCCTCACCACAGACCCAGGACACGCCTCGTCACAGACCCAGGCCTGGGTCCCACGTGGTGCAGGGAGCAGCGACTCCTCAGCTGGACTGGGGCCCTGCTGCCCTGGAGCCAAGGGGTCATCCAGGGCTGGGCCAAGGCCTGGAGGAGACCTACATGGGGTATGGGGGTGGCTCCCGGGGCTCCCAGCAGCCCCTCTTGAGCACAGGACCCAGCCCAGGCACCACCTCAACCCCTGGCTCCAGGCAGAGCTGGGGCACGGCCCCCCTCACCTCCCTGGCTTGGTGACCCCGCTGCAGTCTCCAGGCAGCTCTACGGCGTCGATGGCCCCCTCCAGGCGAAGCAGCATCACTGCAGGTTACAGGGGTGTCAGGGCAGGCCCCTCCCAGGGGCAGGAGGCAGGGCAGGGGGCACTTACTCTTCAGCTTCGCGACGTCTTCCAGCTCCATGCTGAGCCCTAGGCGAGAGAACGGCACGTGCACCAGGGTGTCCAGTGCTGGGAACGGGCGCGCACACGCAACCAGGATCCCCAGTGTCGGAAACAGGCACAGCGCGCAACCTGAGCGGGGAGCTCCAGAGCTTATTCTACTACTTTTTAAAGATTTACTCATTTCAACGCCAGAGTATTAGGGGTGGGGAGGGCAGAGAGGGAGAGAGAGGTCTTCCATCCACTGGTTCACTTCCCATATGCCTGCAACAGCCAGGGCAGGACCAGGCCAAAGCCAGGAGCCAGGAGCCAGGAGCCAGGAGCCAGGAGCCAGGAGCCAGGAGCCAGGAGCCAGGAGCTCCACCCTGTGGCAGGGGCCAAGCACTTGGGCCATCTCCTGCTGCCTTCCCAGGTGCATCAGGGAGCTGAGGCAGCCACAGCATGAACTGTCACTCAAGAGGTGCTTCAGAAACACAGGGAGAGGGGCTGGCGCTGTGGCACAGTGGGTGAAGCCGCTGCCTGCAGTGCCGGCATCCCATGAGTGCCGGGTCGAGTCCCAGCTGCCCCTCTTCCCATCCAGCTCTCTGCCATGGCCTGGGAAAGCAGTGGAGGATGGCCCAAGTGCTTGGGCCCCTGCACCTGCAACAGAGCCCAGGAAGAAGCTCCTGGCTTCAGATCAACCCAACTCAGGCAGTAGTGGCCATTTGGGGAGTGTGTTGTTATTTTATTACAAATAAAGTAACGGCTGGCACCACGGCTCAATAGGCTAATCCTCTGCCTGCGGCGCCGGCACACCGGGTTCTAGTCCCGGTTGGGGCGCCGGATTCTGTCCCGGTTGCTCCTCTTTCCGTCCAGCTCTCTGCTGTGGCCCAGGAGTACAGTGGAGGATGGCCCAAGTGCTTGGGCCCTGCACCCCATGGGAGACCAGGAGAAGCACCTGGCTCCTGCCATCGGATCAGTGCGGTGTGCTGGCCGCAGCGCACTGGCTGCAGCAGCCATTGGAGGCTGAACCAATGGAAAAGGAAGACCTTTCTCTCTTTCTCTAACTGTCTACTCTGCCTGTCAAAAAAATAAAATAAAATAAAATAAATAAAGTAACAATAAAATTAAACGAAAGAGAGAAGAAAACCAGATATGTCAGCCTCTGATAGAACAGTCACCCGCCTGGAGCCCTCAGAAGGCTGCATCAGAACTGAGCCCTGACTCCAGTCCAGCACGCGGGGCCACCTGGCCGTGGACCCCACAGGGCCCAGCTCGGATTCCCCAGTGGATAAAGTGCACGGAAAATCAGATGGGAATAGCCCCTCGAGTTACAGTCCCCAACAAGACCAAGCGGCGCCCACTGCACCACACTTCCCCTCTTGTTACAAGAACCCTGCACACAGAACAGCCAACGGCTGGGAAAGCAGCAAGGAGGGTGGGCGGTGGGCGGCCGGGGGCGGGGCCCAGGGCATCCCATGGACAGGGAATACCTGAGGCACAAGCCATGGTCAGCCCAAGAAAGGCTACTCAGCCGGGAAACCAGAGAGCAGCTGGCTGGACAGGGCTCTCTCCCGCCCATCCACTCGACTCCTGGGCCCAGCGCACAGGTGTGCAGCCCTGGAGACCGCGCCAGCTGCAGCTGGTCCCAGTGCTACTGCCGCAGACGGGGCGGGAGGAAACCCCGGGAATCGCCTGTACCTGGCAAAGGCAGGGAGAGGGCACGGGCGGGGGCTGCCAACCCGTGTGTCACACCCCAGGCGCCTCGTCCCTGACACAGCTGCCCAGATGGGACAGCTCTGAGAATGTGGCCACACCACGGACACTGCCCATGTGGCCTCTGGCCTCTGGCCACAGCCCAGAGGCACACACCTGGTGCATGTGTGCTCATGCCCACACCGATGGGCCTGGGTTCAAGTCCCAGCTCCTGTGCTCGGGTCCCTGTCACCTGCAGGGGAGGCCCGGATGGAGTTCTAGGCTCCTGGCTTCAGCTTGGCCCAGGCCTGACTGCTGTGGGCATCTGGGGGGTGACCCAGCACAGAGACCTCTGCTTCTGTATCCCTGCTTTCCAAATGGATGAAAACAAACATTACAAAAAAGAAATCACGCCCCACCAGAGTGGTTAGGACCTGCATAGGCTGCCCCTCCCACATGGCGGGTAAGGTCGCCACGCCCAGCGCTGGAGTCCCATGTGAGCAATGGTCTGAGTTCCCACTGCCCCACTTCCGGTCCAGCTATGACAATGTGCTGGGAATCAGCAGAAGACGGCCCAAGTCCCTGGGCCCCTGCACCCATGTGGGAGACCTGGATGGAATCCCCGGCTCCTGGCTTTGGACTGGCCCAGCTCCAGCCACTGCAGCCATGTGGAGACTGACCAGTAGATGGAAGATTTCTCTGTGTGCTCCGCTCTCTCTGTAACTGTCTTTCAAATAAATAAATACTTCTGAAAGTTAAAATTTAAAAAAGAAAAATGCCAAAATTATGGGGTGACACCAACCCTTCCCTGTCTGTGGGGTCCCCCTGAAGTGTCGGGCTGAAGCTGGTGTCAGCCTGTCGCCACAGTAACAAACTCCTGAGGGAAGCCACTCCAGATGGAAGGACGGTCCCTTTGGCTCAAGGTTTTGGGGCCCACAGCCCTAGGCTGGGCAGAACCCCCACTCTGGCCATGGTTTGGCGGGGCTGGAGGAGGGCTGTCGGGGGAGAGTGGCCAGCAGGAGGCCAAGCATGGAGGTGGCTCGGGTCCTCCTTGTCCGTGCAGACACCTTGACCCACTAACAACTCACAAGGGCTTCAGGGACCGAGCTGACCACACTAACATGCAGCCCATGCAGGAGGCTCCACGGAGACGCCGCCCCCAAGTCAGGTCCTCACCAGAGCCGGTGGGCTCTGCGCCCAGCTCCAGGCATAGGGTCCCCTGCTGTGCAGCCCTGGTCTGCTCTTCCAAAACCTGGTCTATGGCCTCCAGGCCCGAGGCGAGGTCGCGGGGCGTCAGGTCGAAGGAGGCCGACTCCTCGCACATCTTCTCCTGGGAGCAAGCACGCAGCGTCAGCACAGCGGGGGCGGCACCCAGTGGGCCCCACCCCACGGGCAGGCAGCAGCCGGCCCAAAGGGACCCTCTCTGGCCCCCACCGATGCCCAAGAACCACAATTTCACTTGAGCAGCAGACGCTGTGACTAGAAATGTCCCGTCAACATCCGGAGCAGAAGACTGGCACATGAAGCCACCGCCTCCCGGAGCCTGCCTGGGGCCCAGTGGGGCGGGGCCGGGCCCTGTGGTGGGAGCCCTGGCTGTCACGCAGGCTTGCTGCGGGCCCTCTTCTGGGCCACAGGGGCGGGAGGAAGGCACAGCGATCCTGCTGGGACCTGGTAACAAGGCACCCACGGAGCAGGAGGGCCTCCCGCAACAGGAGGGGGAGGGGCAGCGAAGGCGCCAGGGCCTCCGGGGCGCGTGCTTCTCAGCAGGGGAGGTGTGGCGCGCACAAGGCCCGGGACAGAGCCCAGCAGGCACTCACCACGTTGTGGGCTTCGTCCAGGATCACCACCGTCCCCTTTAGGTCAATGCTGTGCGCCCTGCGACTCTGCAAGGAGGGGCAGACCACAGCCTCAGCCCTCCTGGCAATGGCTGCCCAACACAGACCAGCAGCTCCCGGCATCTGTGCCCACACAGCACAGCGGAATGGGGCCCAGGCAGCAGGACAGCCATGGGAGTGGCCACAGCAGCAGAGGAGCCGAGAGGGTTCCTGGGGACGGGACCAGCAGCCACCTTCTCCTCAACGATAAAGCCCACGGCAAGCGCACAGCTGCGTCCCGGCAAACGCAGGTGCAACACAGCCACCACCTCTGCACGCCTCCCAAAACCTCACGGAACTGCAACCACACAGCTCTGCCGCCCATCAGCCCCCCCGGGGAACACGTGTGAGACACGCAGCTCCTCCTCCACAGCCCCTGGGGAACACGTGTGAGACACGCAGCTCCTCCCCCCACAGCCCCTGGGGAACACATGGGACGCACACAGCTCCTCCTCCCATCAGCCCCCCGGAGAACACGTGTGAGACACGCAGCTCCTCCTCCCACAGCCCCTGGGGAACACGCGTGAGACATGCACTCCTCCCCCCATCAGCCCTGGGGAACACATGTGACACACACAGCTCCTCCTCCCATCAGCCCTGGGGAACACGTGTGAGACACACAGCTCCTCCTCCCATCAGCCCCCCTGGAGAACACGTGTGAGACACACAGCTCCTCCTCCCATTGGCCCCCCAGAGAACACGTGTGAGACACACAGCTCCTCCTCCCATCAGCCCCCCGGAGAACACGTGTGAGACACACAGCTCCTCCCCCCATCAGCCCTGGAGAACACGTGTGAGACACACAGCTCCTCCCCCCATCAGCCCCCCTGGAGAACACGTGTGAGACACACAGCTCCTCCTCCCATCAGCCCCCCTGGAGAACACGTGTGAGACACGCAGCTCCTCCCCCCATCAGCCCCCCTGGAGAACACGTGTGAGACACACAGCTCCTCCTCCCATCAGCCCCCCTGGAGAACACGTGTGAGACACACAGCTCCTCCCCCCATCAGCCCCCCTGGAGAACACGTGTGAGACACACAGCTCCTCCTCCCATCAGCCCCCCTGGAGAACACGTGTGAGACACGCAGCTCCTCCTCCCATCAGCCCCCCTGGAGAACACGTGTGAGACACACAGCTCCTCCCCCCATCAGCCCCCCTGGAGAACACGTGTGAGACACACAGCTCCTCCTCCCATCAGCCCCCCTGGAGAACACGTGTGAGACACGCAGCTCCTCCCCCCATCAGCCCCCCTGGAGAACACGTGTGAGACACGCAGCTCCTCCTCCCATCAGCCCCCCTGGAGAACACGTGTGAGACACACAGCTCCTCCCCCCATCAGCCCCCCTGGAGAACACGTGTGAGACACACAGCTCCTCCTCCCATCAGCCCTGGAGAACACGTGTGAGACACGCAGCTCCTCCCCCCATCAGCCCCCCTGGAGAACACGTGTGAGACACGCAGCTCCTCCCCCCATCAGCCCCCCTGGAGAACACGTGTGAGACACGCAGCTCCTCCTCCCATCAGCCCCCCTGGAGAACACGTGTGAGACACGCAGCTCCTCCCCCCACAGCCCCTGGGTAACACGTGTGAGACACGCAGCTCCTCCCCCCATCAGCCCCCCTGGAGAACACGTGTGAGACACGCAGCTCCTCCCCCCATCAGCCCCCCTGGAGAACACAGCTCCTCCCCGCATCGGCCCTGGGGAGCACGCGTGAGGCACGCTGCCCCACACCCTCCTCTGTCACTGCTACCGCAGGTGTTGCGGGTGAGCACTTCCTGAGCGCACAGCGCGGCGACACGCCACGCCACCTCTGGGGGAGCACTGCCCGCTCTCTTCCCGGGTGGGCGTGTGTTCAGCGACGAGAACACGGGCGTCTCCAGCCTTTCTGTGACCTGCCTGCTAACTTCCCGCATCCCCAACTCTCGAATCAAGGGTGAGGTCTGGTGCTCAGCTCGTCCACCGGGCTGCGTCTCGGCGCCCAAGCCTGCAGCCGGCCCGGAGCGGCCAGCAGCTCACCGCGCCTCTTCCCGAGCCTCGCTTCCGCTTCCGTGCAGTGAGCTGTGGGTCGCCCACTCAGCCACGGTGTTTGAAAGACAGGAGCAACCTTCCTTTCCCGCAGCTCCTCAGCCCGCTGAGCCCAGTGAGCCTCTGGTCACGAGCCCCGGCCAGCGCAGTCCCCGTTACATGTGACGTGATGACTCCGTGCTCTCGTGTGCGAAGGTCAGAACAGCTCAGGCGCCCTGAGCTCTTCCAGGCAGGGCCAGCTCAGCTTTTAGCAGCCGCACAGGCACCCGGTGTGACAGCACCGCGCCGGGGAATCAGCCGCAAGCACAGCGCACCTGCCAGCCCTCAGAGCCCCAGCCCAACTGTCACTCTCTCCCAGAGCCCGCCCCCCACACCCGTCTTCCTGTGGCCTCCGTGAGTTTCCCGGTGCAGCAGGCACCAGGCCCTCTCAGCCCTTCCGGCCCAGTGGAATCGAAGCACCCACGGGTGGGGCTGGATCACTCACTTTTGCACCGAGGACCAGGCACCACCGTGGAGTACACACACAGAGGGTGTGGAGGGGGAGTGGCCGCATAAGCTGACCCCCGAGTTCAGTGAAGGAAGTGGGGCCAGCAGTGTGGACACGCTCCCCACATCCTCGCCACCCGCCCTGCTCCAGCTCCAGGGCCAGGCAGCACAGCCTGGGGCTCTCCTCACCCTCCCACAGCTGAGCCTAACCAGGGTTAGATGCACCCCCTCGACGTCCGAGCCGCCAGCCGCGTGTGCAGCCTCACCTTGGCGTCCAGAAGGTAGTTGTACGGCATGAAGACAATGTCAGCTTGCTGCCTCAGGTTCCGGGAGAGGTAGTACGGACACACCCTGGGGTGGGGGAGCGGGGAGATGTTGCCGTGAGCACCCCGCAGAGGGTGTGCAGCAGCCTGGGGCAGCCTGGGGCAGGGTCTCAGCAGGCAGCTGTGGTCTGGGACGGGGGAGCTGTGGGGACGCACTGTGCATTTAAAACTCTATGAAAGGAAAGACCCAGCGCTGCTCCTGGACAGAGGTCACCAGAAGCAAACCAAGGGGCCAGCACCGCGGCGCAGCAGGAGAGCCCTGGCCTGCCACGCAGCACGGGCTTGGCCCCGGCTGCGGCTGCCCCACTTCTGACCCTGCTCCCTGCTGTGGCCTGGGAAGGCAGTGGAGGACGGCCCAAGCACTTGGGCCCCTGCACCCACATGGGAGACCAGGATGGAGCTCCTGGATTGATGCCGGTCTAGCCCTGGCCATTGTGGGATCTGGGGAGTGAACCAGTGAATGGAAGATCGCTCCTCTCTCTCTCTCTGCCTTTTGAACAAAAATGAGATAATTACAAAAAAAAAAAAAAAAGCAAAAACACATGTGTTCCTACAGCAACAAAGACCTTCCCAGGCTCGCGTGCACCGTCCACCTGACGCCTGCGGGGGCAGGGAGGCGATGTCCCCGCTCGGGCTTCTTCTTGCTGTCAGCTCACAGGATTACGGAAGCAGGAAGTGCCACGGGGGCTGCGGGCCCCAGCAGGGGTCTTACTTGTGCTTGCTCCCACTCTTGACGAGGTCCTCGATGTCCAGGATGGGGGTGGCCAGCTCCTGCTCCAGGCTTTTCTCTGTGACACAGGCAGGAGAAACACACCCCCTTGGGTCCACTGTGTGTGTGCCCAGGCCCAGGGGATGTCCTGGCAGAGAGCTGCCGTGAGCAGCCAGCGTGGCCCACCCACCAGCTGTGGGGTCCCCAGAGAGGCCCTGTCCGGTGTCTCCCGTCTCCAGGGGAGGCCCCGCTGCCTGATGCAATCCTGAGGGAGCCCTGCTCCACACCCCAGCACCAGCCAGACACACACAGTTCTCGAGGGTGCTCTCCTCCCCAGAGCCCCAGGACAAGACAGGAGCAGGATCCCAGCCCTCCTGGGGCAGGCACAGGAAGAACAGCCCCCCAGCCTGCCATAAGCCCCTGGAGGTACCGGCCTTGTGAGAAGCGCCACTCCCCCACCAATGAAGAGGCCCGGGGTGGGCGCCGTGGTGCAGTGCAGAGCCCCGGTTCAAGCTCGGGCTCCTGCACTCCTGATCCAGCTTCCTGCTAGTGCAGCCCGGGAGGCAACACCTAACGGTCCACGTGTGTGGACCCCGCCACTCACGTGGGAGACCCAGATAGGAGTGCTGGGCTCCTGGCTTCAGCCTGGCCCACCCCTGGCTGTTGTGAGCATAGGGGATCGACACCGCTGATAGAAAATCTGTCACTATCTCTTTCAAACAGTGAAAGAAAGGAAAAAAAAAAAAACCTACAGCCAGATTTCCACCTAGAGAACACAGGGAGCTTGTGTCCTCACGGGGCCAGGCCTCCTCTCCTCCTGCTCACAGGCTGGGCCGTGGCCCACCCTCTACCTCCAGAGGGCAGCCCCAGAACAGGGGCACGTGTACCAGCAGTGAGGCCCAAAGGGAAGGAGCACAGGAGTCGGAGGGCTGTCACACCCGAGTCCAGGCGTAGGAGTCCCTTGGGGTGCAGCCGAACACGGTGCCTGCCAGGTCCCACGCCCTCTTCTAATAGGCACACCAGGCTCTCGGGGCAGCCGTGTGTGGAAAACAGGGCTGCACCAGCTCTCAGCTCCATGCACAGCCCTGGGGTGGGGAGGGGGCGTTCAGGCCCCTCGGGGCAGGACTAAGGATCAGCCCTGGGCTGCAGCAGCCAGAAAGCCCCCAGCTGACAAGAGCTGGCAGGAAGGAGACGCAGCCTCCAGCACCACAGCAACAACCGGCCAATCAGCAGGGCCGGGTTCAGCACCATAGCAACACGCCAGCCAATCAGCACGCACACAGCAGGTGCAGGCAGGGCTCACCCACCTCCCCCCGCCCGGGGTCCCTGATGGGCACCTGCTCTCCTTGGCCCTCCCTCCCACTGGGGCCAGCCCTGCACACAAGCCTCCCCTCCTGTCCCACCCCTTCAGAAGTCAGGGGGAGGCTCAGCAAGCATGCACAGGTGCACACGGAGCAGGGACAGTGGGGCCACCCTGGGGACTGGTGTGGCCTCAGGGCTGGAGCATCGGGCCAGCTGCCACAGCTCCAGCCCTCTGCCGTCAGGACGCAGGGCAATCGGGGAAGCTAACACATGCACCTGCTGGAGCAGCGCCCCCCCTCCCAGCCCTCAGGACCCTGCAGGTGGGCAGAGTGCGGCTGGGGGCTGGGGGCTGGGAGCACTCCAGGGCGACAGCAGTGCAGGGCTGACCCACAGCAGGCTCAGGACTGAGGCCACTGCAGACAAGACCCACGCCTGGGCTCCCACAGACAGCTCCCGAGCAGCTGGGGCAGGACAGGGAACCCCACTGCTTCCAAACAGCACACTTGGCCCCTGCCGCGACGGGATGGGGCTCCTGGGGGTGTGGAGCCCATTCCAGACCACCCAGCTGGTGACTGAAGGTCAGACCACAACAGCAGAGGAACAGCAACAGGGGAGCAGTCCCACTGAGCCGCCAACGGCACACCTGGGGCTGTCCCCGGAGCCACCCCCACTCAGGATCTGGCAGAGCAGCGCTGCCCGCCCCCACCGGCCGTCGCCTCAGGGGCCTCCCTGGTGTGCTGGTCACTTGATGAACACTGAAGCACACAGCTGCCCTTGGGGCAGCAACGCCCGCGGCTTCAGCACCGGGGCTCCAGGTTAGGGTCTGGTCCCATTCCTGATCGGGACTCAAGCCGTGTGGCTGCACCGACACACGTGTGGCCCACAGACCACAGGAAACCAGAGGGCTGCACCACACGGAGGCTCAAGTCACCACCACCCTGGGTGCTGGGGGGGGGGCATTCCAGACCTCCCTGACAGACACCAGGGGCAGCCACAGGGTGCAGGGAGATCTGGAGGGCGCTCTGCAGGCACTGCTGTGCCCCGGGCAGGCTACTGCCGCTAACCCTGCCCTGGTGTGCTCACCGTTGGGGGTCCCACAACCACCCCAGGGGGAACTGCGCGGGGCTGTGACAGCACCAGCAAAAGCACACGCAGCGAAGTGCACACGAGGAAGAGGACGGATGCAGAGGCAGGAGGGGCAGAGACAGCTGCCAGGGAGGCCCCAGCGCTCCACGCACGGGTGCTGTCGGCCAGGGGACGTGTCGGCGGCCCTGCGCCCGGCTCTCACCAGAGGTGGTCACAAGGCAGCCCCTGCCCGGCTACAAGATCCCAGCACCCGAAAGGAAGTGGCTGTCCAGTACGCACCCTGCTGTGTGCACCGGGAACCCCTCTCGTGGGGAGGGGGACCCTCCAGAAACCCAAGCTCCCAGGTGGCAGGCCTCTCCGGCCAGGGGGTTCCAAATCCAGCCTGGCTGTGTCCAGGGCACAGCCCGCGGAGCCACACAGGCCACACGGCAACCCTGACTGGCACGGATGGCAGGAGGGCTCGAGGGTGGCCATTACCTTCCACGTTGTTGTAGAAGTGACAGGAACGGCTCGCCACCTTCCTACGACACAGGTGGATCTGGAGGGGAAAGGTGGGACCCGGAGCTGCGGCCGAGAGGGGGGCTCTCGTTCTTCCCCCGCCCTCACTAGTCCCTCCCATGCCATCCCGGCTCGCTGCCATGGGGACTGAGCTCTGCGGGGGAGGTGCAGACAGCACCTGTAGGCAGGGGAAGGGGGACAGGCCAGGGGCGGGGGCAGGCCCAAGGCAGGAACAGGCTGGGGGGCAGGGGGCAGGCTGGCAGGCCCAGGGGAGGTCAGGGACGGGGGGGGGGGGGATGGGGGTGGGGGGGGCGGGGACAGGCCGGGGGTGGGGACAGGCCAGGGGCAGGGGGGCAGGCTGGCAGGCTGGGGTGGGGATGGGGGGCAGGGACAGGTGGGGGGAGGCTGGAGAGTGGGGACAGGCCAGGGGCAGGCTGGCAGGCCGGGGGTGGGGCAGGGACAGGTTGGGGGAGGCAGGGGGTGGGGACAGGCCACCGGCAGGCTGGCAGTGGGGCAGGGACAGGTGTGGGGGGGAAGGTGGGGGGGGGGGCAGACCAGGAGCAGGGGGGCAGGGACAGGCGGGGGGGGGGAGGCAGGGGGGCGGGGACAGGCTGGGGGTGGGGACAGGCCAGGGGCAGGCTGGGGCGGGGGGGGCAGGGACAGGTTGGGGGAGGCTGGGGGGCGGGGACAGGCCGGGGGTGGGGGCAGGCCCAGGGCGGGGGACAGGTGGGGGGAGGCTGGCAGGCCCAGGGTGGGGACAGGTTGGGGGAGGCTGGCAGGCCCAGGGTGGAGACAGGTGGGGGGAGGCTGGGGGGCGGGGACAGGCCGGGGGTGGGGGTAGGCCCAGGGCGGGGACAGGTGGGGGGAGGCTGGCAGGCCCGGGGCGGGGACAGGCCGGGGACAGGCTGGCAGGCCCAGGGTGGGGACAGGTTGGGGGAGGCTGGCAGGCCCGGGTGGGGGGCACCCACCTGCATGTGGTTGCTGTCCTGCTTCTTCACCTCGGGGTGGATGCACAGCTGCTCCCGGGAGCCCAGCACACAGACCCTGGGTCTGGGGAGACAGAACCACGTCAGGAGGGGCTGCCTCCAGAAACCAGGCCCACAGGGGCCCAGCAGCACTGGGGAGCAGCAGCGGCTGCAAGGTGGCCGGGCCGGGTGGGGCCTGGGAGGGAGAGGAGCCAGGGCAGAGGAGGAGACCCTGGGGCTCCCACCGCCACCTGGCCCCGTGCGCCCCTGCTCAGGAGCCAGGCACAGTGAGAGGCCCCTCGCCACACCACAGCCAGCACACAGCGTCAGCAAGCAGCTCAGGCGCCATTCCAAAGGCAGCTCAAAGCGGCTTCCTCACGGCACGGGTCAGGCGCCAGACCCAGCGGCCACCAGGGCACTCCACTCAGTGCCTGGCCAGGGCCGCCTGCTCCATGCCCCAGGGGCTGACCCACCGGTAGGAGGTGTTTCGGAGTTCACTGATGGCCTGCGTGAGCTGCGAGTGCGTCCGGGAGGCGTAGATGATCTTCGGGATGTCTGCAAAGCACGCTGCCGGCACCGGGAAGCAGGACGGTCAGCACCATGTGCTCACCTGCACGCGGCCGACGGCCGGACGCCCACGCTCATTCTCCAGAATCGGCTGCGTGGGTACCTGGGGGTCCCAACTCAGCAAAAGCTTCTCCCCTTGCTCCGCTCAGCAGAGGGCTGAGGGCCGAGGCCTGGTGGAGTCCCCAGTCCCTGCCCCACCCGCAGGGCCCGGAGAGGCTGCGCGTCACCTATGGGGTCCTTGGCGGTGGCGGCGACGTTCCCCCAGGACGAGGCGCGCTCCGGCAAAAGCTGCCCTTGGGATCTCTCCGCCACCAAGCGAGCAGCAAGGGTGTCCCGCAGGTGCTCCCGCCAGGCCAGCGTGGTGCACAGCAGGCAGAGGGTCTTCCCCGTGCCCGTGGGGCTCTCCAGGATGCCGTTCACTTTCTGGATGGGGCGGGAAGTGGAGGGGGAAGCAGGGGCACGGGGGGGCCCGAGGAGCCCCGGCACTGGCCGGGTGCCAGGGGCCAGCGGAGCGCACGGGCTCTGGGCCCGGGCACGGGTGCGCCCACACGCCACCCCAAACCCAGGTATCTGCAGGCTAACGCTAGTGGCGAGATGACCACGGGCCAAGTCTCAAACCAGAACACAGTTCTGCAGTTCCGAGTCCATCTGAGCGGGGTCAGACCTCGGCAGGTACTCCCGGGGAGGGGCTGCTGGGGGCGAGGGCCGCCTCCCCGCGGGGCGACCCTGAGCAAGGCCGCCCGCCACTCCCAGAACACCCTGGCGTCCTGGCTGTCACCCTACTGCACCCAGAACCCGGCACTGCCCACGCAAGCCGCCCGGAAGCCGAGGGAGCGCCCCCAGCCCCCGCCGCGCCCCCACCTTCTGCAGACACTCCAGCACCCGGGCCATGTACTCCTGCTGGCATTTGTACGGCTGGAAAGGGAAGTCCACCGCCACGCCGTCCAGCACGATGGTGGGCATGCCGGCCTGTCACGCGGGGAGGGGGCACCGGGCTCAGGCGCCGCAGCAAGCCCCGGACTGCCCCGCAGCAGGACTGCGCGCCGCGGCGCCCTGGGGTGCCGGTCCCCTCGGGAAGCCCCTCCGAGCTCAGGGCGGCCGGCCACGGCCCAGCCCCAGGGGCCAGCGACCGAGGCCTGCTGATCCCCCGTCCCAAAGGACACGGGTCTCGGGGCTGCGGGCCGCGCGGACAACCGAGCAGGCACCTCCCTGGACCGGGGCAGAGCCGGCCCCGCACTCCCGCTGCCGGGACCTGTAGTTTGGGAAGCGCGACCCGCCGACGAGCCGCTCCCCGAGAAGAAGCACTTGGAGGGTCTCCGCCCGCAGCCTCCTGCAGCGCGGGGCCCCCAGCACCGCAGCCGACGCGGGGAGCAGCGCAGTCACAGCCACCTCGACGGCCGTCAGTTCGAGCTTCGCGGGCGGCGGCGCGCAGGCGCCCCGAGAACCAACTTCCTCCCTCACTTCCGGTCCCTGCGCTGCGCTCCGACCGGAAACCCGGGTCCGCGCCGTGCGTTCCGCGTGCGCTCCCTCCCGGGCGGCCACACCCCGGTCTCCGCGTTCCCGCCGTCTTCTCGAAGAACCGCAGCCACCGTTTTACGGCCCGAGGCTGAGCCCGCACGCGCGACGGGTCTCCCAGAACTCGGCCCCGGAGCGCCGCCCCGCGTGGGCGACCTCGCGTCGGCGCGCCGGGCGCCCGTGGGTCGGCCACGTGTGCCCGCAGACGCCCGCGCCGCGGTGCGGGGCCCGCCCCGTGACCCCCGAGAGCGGCCCTTTGCCGCCCCCGCCCGCGCGCGAGGGGAGGAAGCGCGGGGCTCTGAGGGTGCCCGGGGCGCCCGTGGGGCGGGGCGGGGCAGCCCGCGCAGCCTCCCGCGAGTCCGGCGCGGGTGAGCGCGGAAGGGGCGCCCCGGTCGGAGGCCAGGGAGCCGGGGCAGCTCGGCAGGTGCGGGGCGGCCGGCGCGGGAAGGGCGAGCTGGCGCGCCCGCGAGCCCGGCTGTCCCGGCGGCCGCCGCCCGCGTGGGGCCTGGATGGAGCGGCTCCCGGCGTGGCCTGCCCAGGCGTGAGGATGCGGCGGTGCCTGCTGGCGGGGATGTGCGATGGCTGTCAGGGGACGGGCTTGAGGAAGCCCGGCGAGGAGGGCTCCCAGCGGGTGCACGCGGCTCCCGGCGAGGAGGGCTCCCAGCGGGTGCACGCGGCTCCCGGCGAGGAGGGCTCCCAGCGGGTGCACGCGGCTCCAGGGCTCCACTGGCCCCAGGCGTCTGCTCCTACCCCTGGTTCCTGTGCTGACCTGGTCCTGGCTTCTGACGGGTGCTTGCTGGTGACCGGGCGTTGACCACCGGACTCCTCCTGGAGGGGCCGGCTTGGTTTCAGGAAATCACTGCACAGATTTGATCTGTAAAGATGCAGTTCACGAAAAGTGGGTGCCACAGGTTAATCCTCCGCCTGCAGCACTAGCATCCCATATGGGCGCTGGCTTGAGTCCCGGCTGCTCCTCTTCCGATCCAGCTCCCTGCTGTGGCCTGGGAAAGCAGTGGAAGGTGGCCCAAGTCCTTGGGCCCCTGCGCCCACGTGGGAGACCTGGAAGAAGCACCACAGGCGGCAGCTTAACCCACTACACATCACCACGCCGGTCCAAACATGACATTTTTAAAAAGTAAAAACAAACCAAGCAACCCAGGGCCACGCTGTGCTGGGCATCCCATATGGGTGCTGGTTCAAGTCCCGGCTGCTCCTGTTCCATCCAGCTCCCTGTTGATGGCCTGGGAAAGCAGCGGAGGATGGCCCAGGTGCTTGGGCCTCTGCCACTCATGTAGGAGACCCCGAGGAAGCTCCTGGCTCCTGACTGCAGCCTGCCCTAGGCCTGGCTGTTGCAGCCATCTGGGGAGTGAACCAGCGATGGAAGACCCCTCTCTCTACCACCCGGCCTTTTAAATAAATAAATCTTTAAAAAGGTTGAAAACCCCATCTTTTATTAGCTCACAGTTCTGAGCATGTCAACGCTAAAACCAAGCTGTAGCCTGAGCTGAGTTATCTGGGGACAAACCCGCTTCCATGGGCCGGCCATGTTGGCTAACAGGCTGCCACCTGCAGCACTGGCATCCCACATGGGTGCTGGTTCAAGTCCCGGCTGCCCCACTTCTGACCCAGCTCCCTGCTAATGCACCTGGGAAAGCAGCGGAGGATGGCCCAGGTGCTTGGGCTCCTGCACCCTCGTGGGGAACCTGGAGAAAGTTCCTGCGACCATTTGGGGAGTGAACCAGTGGGTGGAAGATCTCTCTCACTCTGTCTCCCTCTCTGTGTCACTCTGCCTTTCAAATACATAAAATAAATTTCTAAAAACATTTGCTCCCAAGGTCCCGCTGCTGGCAGTCACTTCCTTGTGGCCTGGGAGTGGCGTCCCCTTGTCTGCTGGCGTTGGCTGGGAGCTGCTCTCCTGTCCCTCATCTCAGCAGCAAAGAACGTTTCCTTGCTTTGAATCCCTCCAAAATGTTTGAGTAGCCAGAGAAAGCCCTGTTGTTATTGCTTTTAAAAATAAGCTTGTCTTGTCGGGGCGCCGGATTCTGTCCCGGTTGCCCCTCTTCCAGGCCAGCTCTCTGTTGTGGCCGGGGAGTGCAGTGGAGGATGGCCCAAGTGCTTGGGCCCTGCACCCCATGGGAGACCAGGAGAAGCACCTGGCTCCTGCCTTCGGATCAGCGCGGTGCGCTGGCCGCAGCGTGCTGGCCACGGCGGCCATTGGAGGGTGAACCAACAGCAAAGGAAGACCTTTCTCTCTGTCTCTCTCTCTCTCACTGTCCACTCTGCCTGTCAAAAAAAAAAAATAATAAGCTTGTCTTTAACATATTAACCTGGATCACTTCTTTGATTGGCAGAACAAGACAGACACAGAGAGCCCCCAAATGCCCACAACAGCCAGGGCTGGACCAGGCTGCAGCCAGGAGCCAGGAGCTCCTGCGTAGGTCCTGTGTCTGCAGGCTGTGTCCCTGGGGTTCTGGGGGGGGGGCAGGACAGGGCCCCAAGCACCAAATGCAAACACCCAGCTCCAGCCCTGCCCACATCTCTCCCAGGCCCTTGTCCAGGGCCTCAGCACCTCCTCCACACCCTGCTCTGCCCAAGATGGGCCGTTGAAGGCGTCTGTGGTCTGGGGCAGAGACCAGGGCCTCCAGCCCAGCTTGCCCTGCCCAGCTGCCCCATCCTGGGGCTTGGGCCCACCACCCGCTCAAGGGGCACAGAGCTGGGGGTGGGGGGAGGGAGCAGGGAGTCCCGGCTGTGGGTCTCCCACCTCCTGGGCTCCCCGCTCTCCCTCTCCCCCCTTCTCTCTCCCCTTTCTCCCTCTCCCTCTCTCCCTCCCTCCTCTCCCCTATTCTCTCTCTCCCTCCCTCTCTCTCCCTCTTCTCCCTCCCCCTTCCTTTCTCTCTCCCTTTTGCTCTCTCCCTCCCCCTCTTTCTCTCCCTCTCCTCTCTTCTCCCTCTCTCTCTCCCTCCCTCTCCACCTCTCTCTCCCTCCCTCCCTCTCTCTCTGTCTCTCTCCCTCTCTCTCTGCCTCTCCCTCTCTCTCTCCCTCTCCTCCCTTCTCTCCCTCTTCCTCTCTCTCTCCCCCTCCCTCCCTCTCCCTCTCTCTCTCCGCCTCCCTCTCTCCCTCCGCCTCCCGCTGCCGTGCTGCTCCTCCCCCCGGCACTGCAGCAATTCCGACTGCAGCCCCGGCCGCCGCCCGCGTCTCTCCGGCCGCAGCAGCGCCCGCCGTCAGCACCATGGCCAGCACCATGTCCGGTAGGCGCTGCGGGCTTCCCGGGGCGATCCCGCCTGGCGCTGGGCCGGGGACCGCCTCGGTTCTCCTTCCCAGACCCTGCACGTCGCCAGGCGGGGCCGACCTCGTGACAGCGCCGGACGACCTCAGACCTCGGTCCGACCGCGCCTTCGCGGGGAGGGGGCGGGGGGGGACCCCTGCAGGAGCCCCCGCCCGGGCCGCGGAGCGCCCGTGGGTGGCGGGAGCTTGGTGGGAGGGTGGCGAGGGGACCATCGTTCTGGCCGCGTCTTTGGCGCCGCGAGATTCCGAGGGGGGAGCGGCGGCTGCGGAAGGCATCCCCCCTGCATATCGTGGGGCCAGGGCCCACCCACAGCCCTAGGCAGCAGCCCCACCCCTCCCCGCCCGCGTGGGACGCCCTTCGTCCACGCCATCCAGCGTCCGAGGGCTCAGGGCCCGTCGCTGCTGCCCCTCTCCCCAGCTGGCCCGTTTCTCACCATCCCCACGTGGGCCCCGCCCTGCCACCAGCGGCCACGCCTCCCCCACCCGGTGGGCCTGGGCCGCTCCCTCCCCCAGCCCCCAGCCGGCTGGCCCCTGCCCCCAGGGCAGCTCTGGCCCTTAGCTCTGGCCCTTCTCTGGCCCTGCTGCCCCTCTGCTCCCCACATAGGGAGGTCCTGGCTGATACTCAGTGTCCACACATTTCCATCTGGATGGGCAAGGGAGGGCAGGCCCCTGGACTCGCTCTGAGTGCAGAAAGATGGTGAAGGAAAGGCACGTGGCCGGGTTCTTGCTGAGAGGTGGTGCCCTCTCCCTGCCCAGCACCCACATCCCCAGAGGAAGGCAGATCCAACCAGGGTTTCCCCATGTGCTCTGCTCCCAGCTCTGTCCCAGGCGCCTCTGGCCCGCAAGGGGCAGCCAGGTGTCTGTCAGCAGGGGTGAGGGGGCATCTGTGCCCCTGCCCTCCCAGGTCTAGATGGACCCCTCTCTGAAGTCTCTGCAGGAGAGGGGGCGGAGGCCCAGTCCCTGAGCAGCCTCCCTGGGGCACACACAGGCTAGGGCTGTTGTGGGCTGCTTGCCCCCTCTGAGCCCCTGTTCCCCCTGTGCAGAAAAAGGGGTACCCAGGGCCTAGGTTCCATTGGGAAGAGGGTGCAGTGGGCACTGACCTGATGCCTTTCCCTTATGCCCGCTTTTGAGGTCCTAACCACTACCCGGCGGGCCGGAGAGGAGGGAGGAAGGGGAGGAAGAGGGACTCTGTGGGGCAGGGGTGCCTTAGGACCCTGGGGGGGCTCCCCTGCCTCAAGCTCTGTCTAAGGAGAGTGGCCTGTGTCTGGGTCTTGTCCTCCTCCCCTCACGGGCGTGTCCTTTAAGTTCCTCTGGCCCTGGACATACAGGTGGAGCCGCCTGCCGTGCACTGCAGCCAGCCGGCCCGTCCCCACCAGCCCTTGCTCAGGCTGTCCAGACGCCACCTCCTCACTCGCTGCCCTGCCTCCTCCAGGTGCCCCCTGCCGCCATGCCACAGAGCAGGCCTCCCCTGCACTTCCTCCCTGCGGGACCATCTTCCGGAGGAAGCTCCTCCTGGGCCCTCAGCTTGCAAAGAGCAAAGCCAGGGAACCCCTGATGGGCATGGGACTCTGAGCAGGCCCAAGTCTGGAACCGCGGACACTTGTGCCCTCGGCCATGAGCCGAGAGAGCCCTGTCCCTGTCCCTCATCCCTGAATGGCGGCTGGCTCCTGTGTGGGCGGTGGCAGCTACCTGGCAGGGGACCCCTTCCCCTGTGATGAACCGGCAGCCAGGCAGGCAGGGCCTGGGAGCAGCGCTCAGGTCCCAGGTTCTGGGCCTGGAAGGGCTCGCTGGGGGAGGGAGCTGGGTGCTGGCTGTGTGACAGCTGCAGGGCTGTGTGCCCTCTTCCAGTGTCTGGCCCACCCAGACTCCCTCTTGTGGCCCCCGCGGCAGGGCTGCCACCGCCCGGGGGTCTCCCGAGCTGCTGCTGGGAACAGCTGGCTCCTACACTCCAGCCTCCGTCATCCCAGCCTGGGGTGTGCTCCCCCGCTTCTCTGTCGTTAACCTCTACAGCACGAGCAATGGATGAGCAGAGTTTGCTTCTGAAAACATGAGCCTCGACAAGCCAGGCTGAAGCCTCCTGTGAGGCCCCCCCATTGCTCCCCCTGCACCTCCCTCCGTGACCAAGACCAGAGTTTGATCTTCCCTGCCAAAGCTCTCCCGGGACCCGGTGATGCTCTCTCCAGAGAGCCGAGGCCTCCGGGAGATGGCGGTCTGGCAGGGACAGCGTCCACCCTGGTGGCCGCAGGACCCGGCTCCCCTGAGGGGCTTGGTCAAGCCTGTCCTGTGTTCCTTGTGCACATCGGCAGGCTTCCAGTCGCACGTAACGTGATTTTAAAAGCCTCATCTTCTGTGACACTGGGTCCATTTTCCCAGACGCCTGTCCAGCCTCCACTGCCCCTGGCCTGCTGCCTGCTTTCCCTGCCGGGGAGGCCAGACTCCCTCCTGCAGTGTCCAGGAGAGCGGAGCCTGCCCCTCCACATGACGAGAAGGCCATGGGTCTGAGTCTCATCCTTGGAAGCTTCTGGAATGGTGGGAGAGCACACGGTCAGCGTTTGGGGTGACTGGCTCCCAGGATTTGGGCCAACATGTCCACTGTGGATGGCCCTCCCCCTCCTCAGCGGCAGTTATCAGGCCCACCCCACCCCCTCTTCTGAAAGGCAGGAGGGCGGCTTTGGTGCTGAATGGACAGCTCCCGCCTCCAGGCCCCAGGGAGTGTGGCCTGCCCGTTTCTCTCCCGTGGTCCCGCTACCGGCAGGGGCCTGCGGGCTTCACCCAGGCCTGCATCGCAGGACCTTCCCTCCTGTGGGTTCCTGCTGTCTGTCCGAGCGGGCCAGTGAGAGGCAGGAGGCAGACCCTGAGATGGAGAATCAGAGACACGGGGAGACCCAGGGGCCCGGCGGGCGGCCGCTGTAGCTGACTTGGGCACAGCTCTGAAGGCTGGGAGTCTCAGATAAAGAAGCCCTGGCCGATCCGGCGTCCGGTGAGGGCCCTCTTCCCGGTTCAGAGTGGCGCCTGCTTTCGGTGTCCTCACAGGGACCCCTGTGCAGGGGCACTGACCCCACTCCTGCACCTCACAACCCACCCCCGCCCCAGGCATAACCTGGGGTCAGGATTCCAACTCAGGAGCTTGGGGAGGAGGACACGACACGGCAGGCAGGGGGCGCCGGGGATGCGGCAATGTGAGACAGGCAGAAATGCTGCGAAACTGGGTGGGGCAGAGGCAGGAGAGACCCCCGTGTCCCCAGGGGCCCCGCAGAGGCAGGGATGGGAGCGAGACCAGCGGGGGGGGGGGGGGTCCTGGGGGACCGAGGCACCGGCTCACCCTGGCCACACCCACAGCCTACAGGGAGAAGATGAAGGAGCTGTCCGTGCTGTCCCTCATCTGCTCCTGCTTCTCCCCGCAGCCGCACCCCAACACCATCTACCAGTATGGGGGTGAGTGTCCTGGCTGCCCAGGGCCTGCCCTCGCCTCGACCTTTGCCTCTCCCGGCTTCTCTGAACCCCCTGGCCTGGCCGGGGAGGGGGCAGTCCTGGGGTCTCAGGCCTGGGGGGGCTATGCGGGGAGCACAGCTCTTAGCCCACCCCATCCTTGGGCCAGGCCTCCTGAGGTCCCCTCTGGTCTTGCCCCACAGACATGGAAGTGAAGCAGCTGGACAAGCGGGCCTCTGGCCAGAGCTTCGAGGTCATCCTCAAGTCCCCTTCCGACCTGTCCCCTGAGAGCCCTGTGCTCTCCTCCCCCCCCAAGAGGAAGGACACCTCGCTGGAGGAGCTGCAGAAGCGGCTGGAGGCAGCCGAGGAGAGGCGGAAGGCAAGGCGCCCCTGCCCACCCTGGCTCTGATGCAGGCGGCCAGGGCCCTGAGACGCTAGGCGCCCCCAGTCCCCGTGGTCAGGGCGCGAGTCTGGGGCGGACAGGGCTGCTGCCGGCTCGAACCTCTTCCCGAGGGGCAGCAAGGGCCGGGCGGGGTCCCCAGAGGGCCCTGGGCGGGCATCCTTGGGGGCAGCGAGGCCTCCCACGGGCCAACCCTGAGCATCGGCCCCGGAGAACTGGGGGCGGCTCCGGGCCGAGCGCGGGCGCGTAGGTTCCACCCAGGCCTCTGGGGCTCACCAGAGGGCCCCGCAGCCGGGGTCTCGGGCGGTCCTCCCGCGGCTCACCGGGCAGCCCTGGGACCCTGCACCCCCGCGAGCGCCTCCCTGGATCGGCTCCGAGCGGCGCCCGGGGCGGACCCTGCAGGAGCGAAGGCCGGGGTGGGGGACGGGGGACGGGCGACGTCTGCGGGGGCCCCCGGCGCCCCGGGGCTCACGCCGCCGCCGCCGCCCGCGCAGACGCAGGAGGCGCAGGTGCTGAAGCAGCTGGCGGAGCGGCGCGAGCACCAGCGCGAGGTGCTGCACAAGGCGCAGGAGGAGAGCAGCAACTTCAGCCGCCTGGCGGGCGAGAAGCTCAACCACAAGATGGAGCTCAGCAAGGAGATCCGCGAGGCGCACCTGGCGGCGCTGCGAGAGCGCCTGCGCGAGAAGGTGAGCGGGGCGGGGCTGGGGCGGAGCCCTGCGGGACGGAGCCGGCCCTGGGGCGGGGCTGGGGCGGAGCCCTGTGGGATGGAGCCGGCCCTGAGGGGCGGAGCCCACCCTGGGGCGGGGCTGGGGCGGAGTCCCGAGGGACGGAGCCGGCCCTGGGGTGGGGCTGGGGGCGGAGCCCACCCTGGGGCGGGGCTGGGGCGGAGTCCCGAGGGACGGAGCCTGCCCTGGGGTGGGGCTGGGGGCGGAGCCTGCCTGGGGCGGGGCTGGGGCGGAGCCCTGTGGGATGGAGCCGGCCCTGAGGGGCGGAGCCCACCCTGGGGCGGGGCTGGGGCGGAGTCCCGAGGGACGGAGCCGGCCCTGGGGTGGGGCTGGGGGCGGAGCCGGCCCTGGGGTGGGGCTGGGGGCGGAGCCTGCCCTGGGGCGGGGCTTGGGGCCAGGGCGGGGTCTCGAGCTGGGCGAGGCGCGGGGTCCGAGGCGCAGTCGCAGGCTCTCAGGGCGCCGCCTCCTTCGGGGCGGGAATGCGGCCCGCAAGGACGCGGTGGATACCCGCCGTGGTAAGTGCGGACATTCAGTAACTCTGAGGTGCATCCCGGGACGCGCTACAGGTAGGGGCGCCCCAGCCCTGCGCCCCACCCCCACCAGCCCAGGAGGCCGAGTGACTGGGGTGCAGCCTGCACACCTGGCTTAGGTGCCGCCCAGCCCCCTCTTGCCCCGCCTGTTCCCGCAGGAGCTGCACGCGGCCGAAGTGCGCAGGAACAAGGAGCAGCGTGAGGAGATGTCTGGCTAAGCGGCTGCGGACGCGGGGCGCCGGACCCCGAGCCCGACGCCGGGGGCTGTGGTCACTGCCCCTCCCCCGCCCCCTCTCCCTGGCTTCCCTCTTCTCTGCCACACTCTGAGCTGTCCAGCCTCGTGGCGAGGCACTGACCACGCCACGCGGCAGCTGGGTGCCCTCTTGGTGATCCTCAATAAACAGTGGCCCGGGTGTGTCTGCGTGCTCGGCTGTCCAATCAGCACCGGTGAACAGGCGAGGGCAGCCATGCCCGCTTGTCTTTGTGGGGAAGGGGCACGAACGGGGTGGGGGTAGTATGGGCCCCAGTCCCCCCCCCATCTAGCGCCGGGGAGCCTGTGCTGGGGAGTGGGCACTCCACCAAGGACAGTCCAGAAGCCGGTGGGCAGCGTGGACACCCCCTGCTTACCCTCTGAGCACCTGTGTGAGGACAGAGCCCCCCCCCAGCTGCGCACAGGCCCCAAAAGACCCACCCTCAGAGCCCCTGGAGTCTGCCCTCTGGGTGTCCTCCCCAGGGAGCCCTGGGAGAGTCCAGGGGCCTGCGGCCTGCAGACACAGACCCCGCCAGGGCAGAGGTCAGGGTGCAGCCCCAGTTCATCAACAGAGGGGCCTGGCCCCTTCCCTCTGTTCAGCCCTGGGGTCTCCAGGTCCCCCAGAGCCAGTCTTTGATGGTCAACCTGCCTGGGTGGGGGGCCCCTCACCAGGGTCCCTGCTGACCAGCTTGGTGTGCAGCATGGGGGACACAGTACTGGTTTCCTCATGACCCAAGGTCCCCAAAACCAGGTGCACACAGCCCCACTGCCCTCGGCTTGCACCTCAGAGAAGACCCACGGGAGCCATCTTCTGGGGCAGGTGGGGGGCTTCGAGGGGACCCCTGCCCCTCCCTGCACCCCAGGCAGGCTCCTGGGGAGCCCCTCCTCCCGTGGCAGCCCCCCAGTGGAAGTCTGGTGTGGCACGCCTCCTCACCCACGTGAACCTAAAACCAAAGCCAGTGAACAATCAAAGAGGCAGAGGTGTCCCAGGAACCGGTCCTGAGCCAGGGTCTGCTGTAGCCAGGCACAGCTCCCGCGGCTGTGAGCTGCGCCCACGGCAGCGGTGCTCGTGACCATGGGACCGACCAGCAGGTGGACACACAAGCCCACTTGCCCAGGACCGGAGGGCGGTGGGGCCATCCCGAGGAGCTTCCTGTTGGCCCAGGAGCTGGGTCTGCGTCTCAGGCTTGAGCCTCAGGGCTGTGGGTCCTCCTGGATGGGGGCCACAGCGCTGGGGACCCCCCACTCACCCTGGGGCTGTTCACTGCTCCCAGCTGCGGCAGGGGTGCCCAGCAATGCCGCATGGATGGAGGAGGCTGAGGATGGACGTCCACGGTGCCCAGCTCAGGCCCTGGAAAAGTGCCGAGTCCACGACCTGGAGCCGGCTTTCCCTCCCCTGCGTAGTCCTGGGCCTGACACCCCTCCTCCCGTCCTGAGGTGCCCGTGTGAAGGACGGAGACACGGGGGTCCTGTGTGCCTGCGTTCTGGGCACGGTCACCTGTACACCCAGACAAGCACACCTGGGCCCTGGGACTCACCCAGGCCATGCCTTCTTCATTCCCCAGGGGCAAACAGGGTTTGTGACAGTCCCCATTGGAGCCTCCTGTTCAGGTGGGTGGAGTTATTCCCGGAGTGGTCACTTTCCCTGAACAAGGAAACCGTGGGTGGGCCTTGGAGTTGTTTCAGCTGTCAGCATCTACATGGGAGCCGTCACAGGCACACGGGAGCCGTCACAGGCACACTGGGGCTGTCAGGGGCACACGGGAGCCGTCACAGGTACACTGGGGCTGTCAGGGGCACACGGGAGCCGTCACAGGTACACCGGGGCTGTCACGGGCACACGGGAGCCGTCACAGGTACACCGGGGCTGTCAGGGGCACACGGGAGCCGTCACAGGTACACCGGGGCTGTCAGGGGCACACGGGAGCCGTCACAGGCACACTGGGGCTGTCAGGGGCACACGGGAGCCGTCACAGGTACACTGGGGCTGTCAGGGGCACACGGGAGCCGTCACAGGTACACTGGGGCTGTCAGGGGTCACACGGGAGCCGTCACAGGTACACCGGGGCTGTCACAGGTACACCAGGGCCGTCACGGGCACACAGGAGCCATCACAGGTACACTGGGGCTGTCACGGGCACACAGGAGCCATCACAGGTACACTAGGGCCATCACAGGTACACTGGGGCTGTCACGGGCACACGGGAGCCGTCACAGGCACACTAGGGCCATCACAGGTACACCAGGGCTGTCACAGGTACACCAGGCTGTCATGGGCACACGGGAGCTGTCATAGGTACACGGGAGCCATTCGACAACCCCAGGAGTGGCTCAAAACACACACTGTGTCTCAAGTTTTTTTTTTTTTTTTTTTTTTTTAAGGTTTTTATTTGAAAGTCTGTTACATAGAGGAAAAGAGAGATCTTCCATCTGCTGGTTCACGCCCCAGATGGCCACGACGGCCGGGGCTGAGCTGGGCCAAAGTTGGGGGCCTGGAGCTCCTTCCAGGTCTCTCATGCGGGTGCAGGGCCCGGGCACTTGGGCCATCAGCGGGGACTCTGATCAGCACCCACATGGATGCTGGAGCTGCAGGCAGCGGCGTCGCCAGCCCCTCTCCTAGTGTCTGCGTTAACACTGATCCAAAGTGGGGGAGGCTGAGGGAACTCGCGCCTCCTCTTGCTGAAGAAAAACCATTTTACTGCCCAGCAGTTCCCTAGGTCCACTGCCAGACGTCAAGAGTGGACGTGGGGTGGGCCGAGAAAACGCTCGGGAGTGGTGGGTGGAGCCCTCCGAAGTCAGGGACCCCGGAGAGCTCAGCACCTCTGCACCCTGACGGGACACCGGAGCCACTGGTGCTGCCCGGCTCACGGCAGCCTCGCCCGGTGGACACGGGACTGGGGTGGGGGCCTGCCCCGGCCGACGTGACTGTGTCTGCACTCATCCCCCTGCAGACTGCAGCGCGGCGAGGCCACGCTCTGGGGGACACGTCACGGCCGAGACCACGAGACCACCACCTGCGGGCTCGGCTGCTCCTGACACCCCCTCCCCCCCACGGAAACATCCTGCATCAAAACCGCACACCCCCGAGGGTCAGACTTCAGCCCGGCCCACCTTAAACACACTAAGAACACGCGTGTTGGCCCTCGGCTGGGCAGGGCCACCTGACACGCAGCTCACCTCGGTAACGCGCGGAAGCCCTGGGCAGTCTGAGCTGGGGTCTTGACGCTCACTCTGGGGCCTGGGCCACCCATCACCAGCTTGGCAACGACCTAAACTCAAAGCACGCTGTCTACAGAACACGGCCCCTCCGCATCACGGCAAAGCTGCCGGTCCAAACACCGCAGCCAGGACCATTCCAACAGCGAGAATCGTCTGTGGCTCCACGTGGCAATCGCGCTCATCCACAGGCCCTCTCGCTAGAGGCCAGCAACGCCCTTTAACAATGCCGAAACGGCTGGAGCTGCGCCATCCGAAGCCAGGAACTAGGTGCTTCTTCCTGGTCTCCCGTGAGGGTGCAGGGCCCAAGCACTGGGCCATCTGCTCCTGCTTTCCCAGGCCACAGCAGAGCTGGACCGGAAGGGGGCAGCCGGGACTAGAACCGGCGCCCACATGGGTGCCAGCCCCTTGAGATTTGAAAGGCAGAGGCAGACAGAGATCTCCCGCGTGCTGGTTCACTCCCCGAACGCCTGTGACAACCAGAGTGGGTCAGGCTGAGGCCAGGAGCCTGGGACTGCCTCTGGGTCTCTCAGGTGGTGGCAGGGACCCAGGGACTTCAGCCATCCCTGCCGCCTCCCCAGGAAGCTGCACTGCACGCAGAACTGGGAGTCGACCAGGCACGGCACCGTGGCATGTGCGTGTCCCACCTGCTGGGTCACAAACCCCAGCCCCACTGCAGGGGCAGCCGCTCGGCTCTGGATCCAGCTCCCTGCCGACACGAGTGCCAGGCCCCTGCACCCCCATGGGAGACCCAGATAGGGCTCCCGGCTCCGGCCTGGCCCCGCCCTGGGCACACCAGCACTGGCAACGACCAAACTTCTGAGGGAGACCCCCTTAAATCGTACAGCTTGCAGAGGCCACCAAAGGCCACGCTCAACTAACAACAGAAATTTCAAGAAAAAAATTAAAAATAATATCCCTATTATGTAGGTACAGAAATTTTTTTTTGACAGGCAGAGTGGACAGTGAGAGAGAGAGACAGAGAGAAAGGTCTTCCTTTTCCGTTGGTTCACCCCCCAATGGCTGCTGCGGCCGGCGCACCGCGCTGATCCGATGGCAGGAGCCAGGTGCTTCTCCTGGTCTCCCATGGGGTGCAGGGCCCAAGCTCTTGGGCCATCCTCCTCTGCACTCCCTGGCCACAGCAGAGAGCTGGACTGGAAGAGGGGCATCCGGGACAGAATCCGGCGCCCCGACCGGGACTAGAACCTGGTGTGCTGGCACCGCAGGCGGAGGATTTGCCTAGTGAGCCACAGCGCCAGCCAGGAACAGAAATTAAAAAAAAAAAAAGTTTATTTATTTGAAAGGCAGAGAGAGGGGAGAGACAGACCTTCCCTCTGCTGGCTCTCCCCAGACGGCCCAACAGCCGGGTCCGAGCCAGGAGCGCCGGCCCAGTCCCCACCTGGGCTCTCGTGCTGCCTGCCCAGCAAGCCGGCAGCCGCGACTCCGACGGTGCTGACACGGGCGCCAGCATCGCGGTGGGGACCCCAGCGCCTACATCCCTCCTGAGTGGAAATCATTGGGGTAAATGAAAAAAAATCTGGCCTCCCAATCATGCAGCTGAGCAGGGAACTCTAACAGAGCCGCTCCTCCCTCTGGCGGGTGCTGTCAGTGGGGGCGGCTTGGGAGCGGGGCTCCGCGCTCAGGACACCGCGCGCACCGTCCGGGAGGGCACTGGCTACCACCACCGCCAGCCTCCTCACGCTGCGGCTCACGCTGCGGCTTCAATCTTCCCGGGACTCTCAGCTCCCCCCATTCTAACCCTGGACCCCGGAGGGCTTCCTCAGCTCTCTGGCACCAAACGTGGTCTTTTTCTTACCAGCAACCAACTCTCCAGACACCCACTGGGTGCTCCAACAATTCTATCGAGTTCTGTCACCGTGCCCCCAGGAGTTGGGGACAGACCCCAGCACTCAGAGGGCTCAGTCCTGCAGGTCAGGCCGAGGTACCGGGCAGGAGCCCCGCGTTTCCGACACCTGCTCGGGCTGCACCGTCTGGAGCAGCCCTGGCCGCAGCCGCAGAGGGCAAGGCCCGGGGAGGGGAGCAGGCGGCCTCCACAGCTGGGGTCTCTGTGCCGGGGCAGGAAAGACGCAGGCCCCACTCCAGAGTACGCGCATTCAAGCCGCACCAAGGACCACTTCCCCACCCTTACAGGAGATCTGGACCGTCTCCTGGCTCCCAGCTCTGGCCCGGCCCCGCCCCAGCCGGTGAAGGCATTTGAGCTCTCTGCCCTCAAATGCACAGGGGGACAAAGCACGGAGTCCAGCTTCCCCCCGCGCTCGCTCCCTGCAGGACCACGGCACAGGGGCACTCAGCGGTTCGCGGCCCCTAGTCTCCCCGACCTGCTCCGCGCCTCGGCCTTCTCAACCACCTCTCACGACTGGACTAGGGCCAGGGCTTCTCAGAGGACCAGAGTGGGTCATCGCCCAGGGTGCCCGAGTCCTGACCCGCGGTCCGCACGTGCAGGGCAGGCTGCTGGGTGCCCACGTCCCGGGCTGCGGTGCTGGATTCCGGCTCCGGAAACGCGCCCCCTGGGAGGCAGCAGGCGGTGGCCCTGTCCCCACGAGGTTGGCCTGGCCCTGCGCTGGCTGTGGCTGGCATCTGGGGAGCGAACCAGAGGATGCCGGATTTGTCTGCCTTTCAAGTAAAACAAGGTAGTTCTTTCTGGGGTCTTGGGGAGACCTCCCGGGTTAATCGCGAGGGTTCTGGAGGGGGTGGCGCCTGGGCATGGCCGCGCTTCTGCGCTGCCCTGGCTGCGGGACGCCGAACGAAACACACCTGCTCCTGGAGCCTCCAAAGGCCGCAGCCCTGCCGGCGCCTCACTGTAGCCCAGGGGACTCGGGCTGGACCTCTGACCCCGGAGCCCCCGGCTGGAGACCGTGCAGACCCCGCCCGCAACGTTCATCTTCCGCGTTCTCCTGCGTTCCCACCGGGCGGGGTTGAGCCACGCAGCAGGTGAAGCGCCCCCACACCCCAGCCAACTCCAGTCCCGGCTGCTGCACTTACGTCCCGCGCCCCGTTCAAGCGCCCGGAGCAGCAGCAGCAGGGGGCCCGAGCGGCCCCGCCAGCCCCGTGCGAGACCCGGGGGGCGCTCCCGGCTGCAGCCATTCGCGGGGTGCACCAGCTCTGCTTCTCGTAAATAAGTCTGACAAACGAACCGCAGCCGCCGCGTCCGCCCCGGCTGCTGACCCCTGCGCGGGCGGCCTCTCCCCGCCGCCCAGCTGTCCCTGAGCGCTGGGAGCCTCCCCAGCGACCGCACCGCGCACGGGGCCGCTTCCTCTGCGGGGCTTACCGGGGGCTCCGATCCCGCTCAGGCCGCCCCGCAGGGCCGGGCACACGCATCGCAAACGCCCGCCGGAGGCCCGCGCTCCCCACGCAGGACGGCCTCGGCGCCCCTCACGCCCACACGCGGGCAGAGCGCGCCAGCAGCTGGGCCGAGCCGGCCCGCAGGTCCAGCCCGCACCGCCCTCCGCGTCCACGACGAGCCACCGCCCTCGCCGTCGGCCAGCGCATGCGCGCCGGAGGGCCGCCGGGCCTTATTTCTCAACACCGCCCGCCCGGCGCCAAATAGATCGCAGGGCCCGCCCGGCCCAGGGCGTGCGCGTCCCCGCCGCCTGCGTCACTAGGAAGCGCGCGCCCGCGCCGCCGCCGCCGTCGCCGCCGAATCCCCAACAAGGAGCGAAGCCCGCGGCCGCCGCCTCCGCCGCCGCTGCCGCCGCCGCCGCCGCCGCCCCCGCCCCCGCCGGGCGCCCGAGCAGGCCCGGCGCGGCCCCAGGTAAGCGGCGCGGCGCGCCCGCGGCCCCCCGCGGCGAGGCCTCTCGCTCCGCTCGCGCGCGCCGTCCAGTCAGGGGTCCCTGCGGAGCGTCAGGACGTTACGGCGGGGGGAGGGGAGCCGGGGGAGGGGCGGCGGCGCGGGCGGCGGCGTCGGCGCGGCGCGGCGGCGGCGTCAGGCGGGCGGGCGGGCGGGCGCGCGAGGGCGCGGGCGGAGGCGGCGGCGCGAGGGCGGCGGCGCTTCCGGCCTCCATGTTGGCGGGCGGGGAGGCCTGGTGGCGGGCGCCGCGCTCGGGCCTCGGCGCAGCCCCGGGCCGGGCCGCCAGGCGTTTCTCGGGGGGCGCGGCTGCCTCTCCGGCCCGCCCGGCCCGGAGCCGCGCGGGAGGCCGTGCGTGCCCGGGCCGGAACGGGGCCGCTGCGGTCCCCGCGGTCGGGACAGGCCGGGGCTTGCTGCGTGTTCGTGGGACGCCGCAGGGGTCGGAGCCGTGCTGCGCCGTCCCCTGCGGGTTTATCGGAGGAGGATGGGCTGCCAGGCCTCACGCCCTGCGCGCGCACACCTTAGTCTTGGTTTTGCGGATTCCGCCTCAGAGTCGGCCGGAGGCCCGCGGACTGGCCGCTGGGGGAGCCTGGGTTCCGTGGGCGGGCTTGGGCTCTGGAACGAGTGGGTCGCGGCCGTGGCCGGGGGGAGCCCGCTGAGCCCCGATCCGGGTTGCGTGAAGCTCGCTCTTTGGACGCCTAAGCCCCGAACGCCAAAGTTTGTCCGGTGCAGAAAACCCCAGGCGGCCGGCGGCCCTGTGTCTGGGTGCTGGCTCTGCTTCCTGCCGGCCACGGGGAGACCCAGCTGGGGCTGCTGGCTGTTGAGAGCATTTAGGGGATGGCCAGTGGATGGGACACGCTGTGTCCGCCTTTCAGGTGGAGTCAGCCTGGGGCTCGGGGCAGCTCTGGCCGAAGCCTCCGCAGAGCCCTTGAGACCCTCGTGGGCCCGGAGGGAGGGGCCGGCCCCGTCCTGCCGGGTGCTGGGCGCGAGGGGCTGGGGTTTTTGGAGGACATTTCCTGGTTTTAGGGGACTGGCCACCCCTCGCTTCACATCCCGTGCGGCAGGAGCAGGGTGTGAGTGCCTTTGGCTCCTCGGCCCCGCCTGCCATGGCCTCCGTGTTGGGGGCACAGGCCCCAGCTCCGGCCTCGCAGGACCAGGGTCTGGCCAGTGGCTCCCAGCTCTCCAGCAGGAGACTGGTGTGGGGCCCCTGGCTCTGGCCGGGGCAGCCCCGCGCCTCACCCTGAGCGGTCTGGAGACCCTGCCCGGGGGTCTGCAGGTGACTGAGGGCCCCTTCTCTCCCTGACACTCAGTGTCCAGGTGCTGCCTCGCGCTGGGGCTGGCTGGTGAGCTGGACTCAGCTCAGTGTGGAGGCCTGGCTGGGGAGTGGGTGCCTCCCCAGGTGGGCTTCCCTCCTGACCCGTGACCGTGGCATGCCGGCTGTGCAGGGACGCTGGTCCTGCCCTTGGACGCTTTGAGTGGGTACAGCACTTGGCACTGGTGACGGCGTTTGCGTATTAACCATGGTGATAAGTTCTGGGCCTGCAGCACCAGCATCCCATATGGGTGCCCGTTCAATTCCAGCTGCTGCACTGGGATCCAGCTCCCTGCTGTGGCCGAGGGCAGCAGAGGGCAGCCCAAGTGCTCGGGCCCCTGCACCGCTGGGGGAGACCCGGGAGAAACTGGGCTCCTGGCTTCGGTCTGGCCCAGCTCCTGCTGGGGAGTGAGCCAGCTCTTCCCTCTGTAACTCTGCCTTTCAAATAAAATGAACAAATCTTTTTAAAGTTTCTCTTGTAGCCAGTTTTGGTTTTCGGCTCTGCGGCCTGTAACGTCTGGTCTGATGAACGCCTGGTTGTGCTGTAGTAGCACTAGCACGTTTTCATTGTGGGAGAACCATCTGAGTGCACAGCAGTGAGCGCATTCTCAGTGTTGTGGAATCATCACACTGTGTGCAGAACCTCCTGCCTGCCCCGGACAGGCCCCCCCCCCCCCCCCCCCCCGCTCCTCTGCTGCTTTGTCTGAATGCCATTGTTTTAGGGACTTCACCGGGGTATCTTTTTTTTTTTTTTTTTTAAGATTTGTTTATTTGAAAGGCAGAGGGAGGGGTCTTTTATCTGCTGGTTCACTCCCCAGATGGCCACAACAGCCGGGGCTGGGCCAAGCAGGAGCCAGGAGCTGCTTCTGGGTCTCCCAGGTGGATGCAGGGACCCAAGTACTCAGACCATCTTCCACTGTGTTCCCAGGCCATTATCAGGGAGCTGGGTGGGAAGTGGAGAAGCAGCGGGGACTTGCATCGGTGCCCATGTGGGATGCCGGCGGCGCAGGCGTGGTTAAGCCCTGCCACAGCGCTGCTCCCTGTTTCCCTTCCTGCCCACGACTTCTCCACGCCCGCCGTGGCAGTTGCTGGTGGTGCGAGGGGCGTCTGGACGCTTTCCTGAGCCCTGGCTGGTCACATGCTTTGCAGAAATGTCTGCTCTTAAGTTCTTTGCCTGCTTTTTTGTTTTGTTCTGGTAGATTTATCTGACAGTGGCAGAGAGAGGTAGAGACAGAGAAAGAGATCTTCCGTCTACTGGCTCACTGCCCAAATGTCTGTGAAAGCCAGACTGGGCCAGGCTGAAGCCAGGAGCATCACCCAGGTCTCCCACGTGGGTGCAGGGGCCCAGGCACTACACGCTCACCGGCTGCCTCCCAAGCCATCAGCAGGAAGCCGGGTGGAAGCAGAGCCGGGACCCAGGCCCAGGCCCCCGCCTGTGGGGCGTAGTGTCAGTTGTAACCCTGGGCCAGCACCTGCTCCGTGGTGTGGGTGCAGCAGGCTCTTGGGCCGCCTGAGGGCAGAGCCAGCAAGCACAGGGCATTGCCCTCCCTCTCGCCCTCCCCTCTTGTGCGTGGGTTTCCCACCGGGGAGAGGGCTTCTTAGGGCCCTGTGGGTGCCCAGCACCCGGTTCTGAGTTCTCGCCAGGATTACGGAGAGGAAGGGGGACGGGAAGCTGACCTCCATGTCCTGCTTCCCGCCCGTCCTGTCCTCAGCTCCCTGGAGCGAGCAGCGCTTGGTTCCGCTCGTGCACTGGGGGCTGCCGCCTGACGTCAGCGTGGCAGGCTGGGATGTGCAGGTGGGTCTTTGGAGCTTCTCCATGGCGCGCTTGGCCGGGGCCCTGCGGTGCCGCTGGCGGCCGCCCCATGACCTGCCCTGCTTTGTCTCCCCCAGGACTTGGGGCCCTGGAGGAGTGACCTGCTGGCCTCGGGGTTCCGCTGCGGCTGTGCCATGGCCACCCCGGACGTGAGCGTCCACATGGAGGAGGTGGTGGTCGTGACCACGCCCGACACCGCGGTCGACGGCAGCGGTGTGGAGGAGGTCAAGACCGTGCTGGTGACGACCAACTTGGCCCCTCACGGGTGAGAACTGCGCCGCGGCCTGCCGAGGGCCGCACCCCTGCTCACGGGGGGGGGGGGGGGGGGGCGGCGGGCGGGGGGGCTGCTCGGCCTGGGGCATGGTGGGCCTAAGGGCAGGCTGTGTGGTTTCTTTCAGCGACTGAGCGTGGGCTCAGCATGAGGGAGGACCCTGCTCGGCTGTTCCCGTGTCCGCGTGGCCGCAGGGTTTCCGTCTGACACGCAGTGCGCGCTCCGTGACGTTTTGTCAGACATGGACTTTTCCTGCCATTCCTCCGGAGACTTGTCTTCCTCATTTCTCGGGCAGGCGCCGGCAGGGGGCGCTGCCGGGAGGGGCTGAGCCGTTTCCCTGCCGCGTGCCAGGGCGGGCCGCCGTCCTCCGGCAGCTTTTCACGGTGCTGCTGAGCCTGGGAGGGTCTCGCTTTTGGAGAACTTCGGAGAGGAAGGTCCTAGGCTGGGGCCAGCCCCGAGGCTGACAGCTGGGGTCTGTGTGGCCAGAGGCGCTGGCGGCCGGGCCTCGTCCTGGGCTCCGCTCTGTTCCCTCGCCCGGCAGCTTCCAGCCTCTCCGTGTCCCGCGAGCACATGGGCCCGGCTCTGGGGCTTCCTCGTCTGACTTGCGTGGTGTCACGGCCACGACCGTGTCTGCAGGAAAGCAGGACCCTGGAGCCTCTGTCGGCACCTTGTATGCGTCTCAGGTGCTCTCTCTCAGTGACAGGACGCGGCTGTGCCCTGCGGGACGCGGGCTCGTGTTCGTACACACTGGGGGGGAGGGGAGGGGAGTCTGCGTCACCTGACACGCTGTGAGGATACAGAGCTCACGAGGGCTGACCGTGCAGTGTGGCAGGAGTGACCCTTGGTCAGAAAGGCCTGATAGCCCAGGGTCAGTTTTGCATCCCGTGCCCCTATGCAGCTCCTGGGGGCGGGGGGGTCTGCATGTTGGAGACCTCCCCGCAGAGACCGAGCACCGTGGCCGTCACTGTGGGTGAGGGAACCTGATGCTGCAGTCTCCGTGTCTCCGTGGCCTATGTCAGCGGGTTCCGGCCCTCACGGCGCCGCAGGCTGGGCGGTTGGCGGGCTCGGGCCCTCACGGCGCCGCAGGCTGGGCGGTCGGCGGGCTCGGGCCCTCACTGCACCGCAGGCTGGGCGGTCGGCGGGCTCGGGCCCTCACGGCGCCGCAGGCTGGGTGGTCGGCAGTGCTCCTTGTTCTCTCACAGTTCTCGAGGCTGCAGGCCCAGATCACATCTGACAGGGTCAGGGTTGGTGGGGGAGGGGGCCAACTTCTCCCCCCGCCCTTGTGTGTCAGCGAGGGAGGGTGGAGGAGGAGCTTTGTGCACCCTGGTCGCCCTGCTGAGCCCCTCTCCAGGGGCAGGCGTCCACGTCCTGCGTCAGGTGTCTGAGTCTGGCTCTACTTCTGATTCCAGCTTCCTGCTGGTGTGCACCCACGGGTGCCAGTGAGGTCCCCAGCTTCAGCCCTGTGCTGCCCAGGACCCTTGTGAGCAGATGGGAGCTCTCTGTCTCTCTCCCTCTCGAAAAACAGAACAAGGATGTCTCCAGTTACAATCACTTTGGGGTCAGGCCTTCAGTGTGGTTCAGGCCAGGGCTCCCGTAGGACACTTGCCCTGCCTGGGCCTCCAAGGGTCTCCTGCCCCGTGGGGCTGGGTTGCTGCCTTCTGTGTGGGCAGGTGTGGGGCTCACTTCCTGGCTTGCAGCTGAGGCTTCCTTTTGTTCCCCCTCGTCCCCGCTTGCAGTGGCAGGGCCCTGGATTCGGGAACTTGGGTATAAATCAAGCCGGTGCCTCCCTCTCTGCCCTGCACTGCCCAGCGTTGAAAGCCTGGCTACTGGGAAGACGTGCTGGTCTTGCACTGCGTGTTTACATGTTTAAAGGTCGTCCCCTTCAGGGGCAGGTGTCGTGGCACAGCAGGTAAAGCTGCCTGTGGCACCGGTTTGAAACCCGGCTGCTTCAGTTCCGACTCAGCTCCCTGCTGGTGTGCCTGGGAAAGCAGCAGAAGAGCTTTCTGTCTGTCTGTGTCTCTCCCTCCCTCTCTAACTCTTCAAATATTTCTAATTATTTTTTACTCACATGAGAGGCAGATTAGGGGAGAAGCAGAGAGGGAGATCTTCCATTTGCTGGTTCAGGGCTGGGCCAGGCAGAGGCCAGGAGCCACGCGGGTGCAGGGGCCCCAGCGCTGGGGCGTCTTCTGCTGCTTTCCCAGTTTCATTAGCAGGGATCTGAGTTGGAAGAGGAGCAGCCAGGACACGAACCAGCGCCTGTATGGGATGGTGGCTTCGTGGGGGCAGCTTTAGCTGCTACACCATGATGCCAGCCCCTAAAATCTTAAAAAAAAAAAAAAAAAAAAAAAAGGCCCCGTGAGTGGTTCTTGTGGAAGTTCGTGAAGGGTGGACTTAGATGTGTGTGTTTGGTGTGCCACGAAAGTAATTCACCGATTACTCTAAAATGTGTCTGGTGGAAATGTAGAAGGCACTGATGAGCAAACACAGAGCCTCGGGGTGAAGACTGGGCGTGTGCAGAGCGCTCGCGCTCCGGGCCATGATGTCCCTGCTGCTGCTGGGTCTCTGAACGCAGATTCTCCTGTCCTTTCTAAAATGTATTTTTATTTTTAAGATTTACGTATTTATCTGAAAGAGAGAGAGAAAGAGATCGATCTTCCATCCGCTGGTTCATTCCCCAGATGGCTGCTAGGGCTGGGCCAGGCCCGGCAGGAGCTAGGAGCCAGGAGCTGTACTTCACCCAGGCCTCCCACTTGGTAGCAGGGTCTCCGTCACTCAGGCCATCTGCTGGTTTTCCCAGGCCTGCAGGAACCGGTGGCATGTGGGATGCCGGCATGGCAGGAGGGGCTTTACCTGCTACACCACAGCACAGCCCCTTTCCTTTTATTTTTTAAAGATTTATTTATTTGAGCTGCAGAGCAACAGAGGAAACAAGGGACAAACAGACCTTCCTTCTGTCGGTTCACTCTGCACATGGCTGCAGCAGACAGGCTGGGCCAGGCTGAAGCCAGGAAGCAGGAGCTGCACTTGGGTCTCCCACGGGGTGGCAGGTGCCCTTGTATTGGGCCAACATCTGCTTTCCCAGGAGCCTTAGCAGGGAGCTGGATGGGAAGTGGAGCAGCCAGGACTCGAGCTGGCACTCTGCTGTGGATGCCAGCACTGCAGGCGGCAGCCTAACCTGCGGTGCCACAGCGCCAGCCCACACACTTCCTTCTGTAAGCCTCTTCACTGGTAGACGGCGTGCACGTGTAGAAAGCACTTGTGGCTTGGCTGTGTCCCTGGGACGTGGACGTGGACTGTGGGAGTGGCCACACGTGCCACTGCTGTGGGATTCTGGTTCAGCTGATCTCTTACTGATAAATTTCCATCCCTTCTTGATTTCAGCTCACCCTTAAACTCCTTCCTGTCTGAACTGTCCAAGCCCAGATCCGTGGGCCCGGTGGTCTTCATGCAGCCTCTGCCTCAAGCTGGCTTGCAAGGAGGGGCTGGCTGCTCTGCAGGGGTCCACTCTCGTACCTGTCCATCTGTTGGGTTCTCTGGACAGCTTTCTCAAGGGGGCGCTTCCAGCAGCCGTGAGCCTGAGGCTGGGGTGCCCCCTCCTCTTCCACCCAGACCTCCCAGGTTTCAGACCTGCACAGGCCCTCTCAGGCCACCTTTGAAATGTGTTGTTTCAACATTGCGTATGTTTTTATTGAAAAGTCACAGGAATCTCCTGGACATGCCTCCCCTCCCCCACACTGTTGTCTCGGCTGTAGCTCTGAGCTGTCCCTAGCCTCTGGCCAGCTGGCGGCAGTGACGTCCCAGAGCCCTCCCGAATCTGTGCACCTCTCATCGTTATTAAGAACACGGCTCGTGGCTCTTGGCTTTGCCGTGAACCGCGCGTGAGTTGTTTTTCTGTGCTGAGAGTTTGTCGTGCGTTGAGAGCAGGGAGAGGAGGAGGAAGCCCCGGCGCCTCCCCTGCTTGCTGCACCCGATGCTGTCCGCTCCCTCCGCCGCACGAGGAGCCCCTCACAGCGCAGCGGATGAGACTATGGAATTCTCACCATCTGTCCGTTGGCCGCTGGTTCTGCTGATCCTGCTGGCCTAGGGACCTTGGGCATGTTTCTGGAGGTGGGCAGTGGTTCCCAGGGACGGCGCACCTCGGCCAGTGGGAGCCCGGATCCTTTCCTGTGATGTGCCTCCTCTGCTTGTGTCCCATGGTGTCCAGTCGCGACTCTAGGGGCCCCCCTGACCACGTGAAGCCCACAGCAGAGCCCACAATTCAGGTGGAGCTGACACTGTGCCCCTGGAGAGGAGAGGGCCCAGCGGTGCTGGTCACCCCTGCACCCCCACCCTGCCCTCCGGCACGGACAGCCTCCCCCAACCCTGTCTCCCTCCCAGCTGGCTGCAGCCTCGGGCCGGGGCTGCCTGGGCCCCCTGGTCTGGTACAGAGGAGGCTTCAGAGCCCCGAGAGCGAGCTGTGCAGCGTGCGAGGCGTGCAGGGCGGGTGGGCACGGCGCGGCCCCGCTCAGCCACAACGTGGCCCTCAGGCAGCCCTCGCTGCTTTCCCCGCCGCCTAAATCGTGGCGCAGTTTGAGCAGGGGCTCTCAGAGCCACGCCCTTGGTTTGCCTGCACCCTGAGCCATTTCTCTGCCAACCGAGAAGCCAAGGAGAGTTCTGTCATCAGCGCCCAGGGAGCCGCCTGGCACCCTGCACCCTGCTGAGGCTGCCGGGACCGCCACCCGTTATCGGGGCGCAGTCCTGCCAGCTCTGACTAACGTGGCCCTGCGGCCCCTCCCCAGCCCCTGTAGCTGTTCCCTGCCCGTCCCAGCCCCCACCTCAGCTTCTGCCTTCTCCCAGTCCCAGAGGCAGAGTCACACCTCTCAGGTTTATGATGTCAGCACCGACGCTGGCAGTCTCGCATCCGTCTTTCACTGCACAACAGACAGCCTGGGACCCAGACCACACCCGACCACACCCTGGACCCAGACCTAGAGCACACCCAGACCAGACCACAC